ACCCCAAATAAAAAAATGTATACTCTTAAACTCTTCATAGATTGAGGGAAATTACTTTTACTACATTTTGCAATAGATATAAAGTTCAAATTTCTACAATATTGATCACTTGACCTAGAAAGTTAATGTCATTTAATTATAATAGCCACAGCCAGATTTAAGTAAGCAAAAACTCTTGTCTAGACATTAGTCTAGTCCAAGTAATATAGCCAGCTTTTTAACCCATGGCCTGCTGAAGGCAACTGATTTTACTCATGCAGGCCAATGCAGACCAAGATCAAGTGGCACATTTTGCGCACATCTGATCATGGTCTACACTGAGAGACACTGCTCGCTATTCAGTGAGTCTGCACATATTTTGAAATTTTCCCTTTAAAGCTACACACCTCCAGATGAGTCAAAATATTTCAATAAATATGTACTAAGATGTATTAAGGAAAAGTAAAAAGTTTCAAGATTCAAGTTAAATTTTACATATTATGTGCGATTAATCAATAATGACTGATTTTTCAGTATTTACAAATATATTTCTACTGCGTTAGCTAATCATGCATTACTATTAAGTTGCAAGATGGGTACATGTTTATCAATTAAGTAATAAGGAAGTTCAACTTGTCATTTATGTAAATAATAAATGGACTTTACTCTAAGAGCCATAGTACAGTATGAAGTGGACTCAATTAGCTATATAATAATCTACAAAGGTTAATATCTATGTCAGCTATATATAACAAAGCATTTTTTGCCAATTAAAGGCTGAAATAACTTTATTTAAACTAGCAATATTAATATTCTATAAAGAACAAGACTAATCCATAAAAAGGGAACTTAAAATGTCATTACTACTTATATTCAACAGCATTTCTTTTTTAGTAATAGTATACATGTGCATGATTGTAAAATTATTTCATTAGGATTTTTTCACTTATTAAAATGGAAAGAGACCTTAGCCTCTTGATTTTGGGAAAAAATATTGCTAAAACTGCTAATTTGGGAAGTAAATAAGCTGTTGTTAAGTTCAGATTTTTAGGAAAACTGTATTCAGCTTTTTAGAAAAACTGTATGATTTAAAAGGAAATTTCAATTGGGAACAAGCCCTGTACAGACTGCCTTTGTGAAGTATGAAGGAAAATCACTGCTACAATGTAATATATTATTTCATATCATTGCTTCCTGCAAAAACCATGACACTACCAGCTTATTATACACACAATAACAACATAAAACAGGACTGAACAAGTCTTCAGTTTTCATTTCGTTTACTTCATTACTTGCACCAAAAAAAGTACAATGTATATAAATATCAAGGTACAGTTTGTGAGTTATTCTAGGGAATACTATATTATCTCTGCAGAGAAAAGTCCTTTGGGAGAAAAAGACTCTGGTGGTTTTTGAGGTTTTACTCTTGAAAGATTAAGTTTATTGTCATGTCCAACTTTGTGAAATATAAATATAAGCCACGTCACGACAAAACCAACATAATGGGTTTGCAACCAGCATGGATCCAGACCAGCCTGTGCATTCGCATCAGGATCCATGCTGTTCGCTTAAAAACCCTATAACAAGTAGAGAAACTGACAGCGAACAGCATGGATCCTTATCAGACTGCGCGGATGCGCAGGCTGGTCTGGATCCATGCTGGTGGCAAATGCAATACGTTGGTTTTGTTGTGACGCTGCTCATATAGTTGTTCTAAACAGGTTATTCCTCATGAGAGGAGAAATCTCTAGCTGTTACAGTGCATTTGAGTTACTGCAACAGTTTTAAGTGAATAACAGTCATATAATTGCTTAATGTTAAAAATTCACCACATTATCTCATAATCTGTAATTTCTGAAATGTTATGTACATTGTATAAATGTGAAAACTTGAAAAGTAGGTTTTTTTTAGAATATTCCAAATTTTAAAAATGTACTCAAACTCAAAACATTAAAAGGATTTCATTGAAAAGTCATTTGAATTGATATAAAAATATGTTTTTGCTATTTCAAAACAATAAGGCCAGACTTCATATGTCTTTTTTTCCAGTCTCGAACTCACAACAACAGCTTTAGGGGAGAAAGTTTGGTTAACTATTTTTTTTCAAATTCATATGATTTTTTTTTTCACAGACACTATTTGAAGCGCATGAATCATAAAACTTTTATAGAGGTCTACTGGGCGCATTGCTATACAATATATGCCAAATTTAGAAGCATAGAATTTATCCACAAAAAATAAGGATGTGCTTTTTATACTTTTGTCTAGTTAAAGCAAGTGACTCCCAGGTAGGGTCTGTAAATTTTAACATCTCACCTTGTTGTCATTTCAAAATCCTCTTCTGTCCAACCATACTCTCTTTTCATTTGAAAAACTTTTACAGACTTGGCAACAGATGATTCATACATCTCAGATTTATTCTGACTGGGTCGCTTCTTGAACGAGAACAGATCTGCATACTTTGTGAACAAAATGTTCTCTGGAAGGGCAAGGAATAAAAATTAGAATTACCATTTTGTCTTCAATGACTTAAAGACAATCTACATTATTTCTTTATTTTCCTAAATCCATTGATGATTGCCAATTACAATTTAAACTTTCACTAGTGTGATCTTTGCGTTTTACGAAATTTTTTATGTTTAAAGAAATACTTGCTCTAAATTGTCATTAACTTCCTGGGTGAAACTGATAAGCTGGGTTTAACAGCTATATTTTGACCTGAAACCATGTTGGAAATTGCTGAGAAAACCATGCTTATCATAGAAGGACATGATATTGGAGACAATTATATGCACTAATAGCTTATAGGCAATGCAGGTTAATGATATAGGTCTGTAGTTACTAGGCTAACATTTTGGGAATTTCTTATAAACAGGGGCAATGACTGCACACTGCCAGTCATGAGGGACAGTACCACTTTTTAAGGAAATTTGGAAGATGTGCGTGAGAACTGGGGCAATTTCAGTATGAAGTTCTTTCAATAACCTTGGGGACAGCTGGTCGGGGCCAGAGGCTTTGCTTGGATTTAGCCCTTTGAAGAGTTTCTTTACTCCTTCCTCTGTTATGTTGACATTTGGCATTTTTGGATAGTTTTGTGGAGAGAGCAATTGTTTGCATGACAGGTTTTGACTTAATCTTTGGGGGCGGGAGAAGACAGACCCAAATTGTTTATTTAGTAAGTCTGCCTATTGACTTGGACATTTATAGATTATCATGGATTATGTTCTATAATGTTAGTTCTTACATTAATCCATTATTAAGTAATACTGAGTTTACTTTACCCAAGTGTCATACATATATCAATAAATATATCTTGGTACATTATTTTCTGGAGTTTGCTTCTGATTTTGAGATAATTTGAAGTATTTTTTGTTAAACATAAAATCTTTTAATTATCAATATTGACAGGGGCTTTTTATTATTATTTCTGTTACCTGGCTTATATAGTTAGGAACAGTCTATTTTGATGATAAGCTTGATGATCTCCCTTTTAAAATTAGTGACTTGTTTTGATTTGCTTGACTGGTTTTTTGTATTCATCCATGGTTATTATAAATAAGTCCTTCAACTAGTTTTTGGTACAGTTTGTATGACACGTTATTCATGGAATGTTAAATTTTTCCACACCCGCCTGCCCTTATTTTTATGTTTTTTGTTTAGGTATGTTGTATCAGGTACGTATATTAACGGTATCCGCAACTAGATATTAGACCGTGATTGGTGTCGTGCCATTTACGCGCATGATCACATGCTCCGAAAAACATTAATCCATGGCGGAAGGCAACAATTTCAGTTCATGAAAAATATGTTAATAAAGCGCTAATTTATGGGCATCTGCACAAAATACTCAAGAAATAATGACAGGTTAGTCTTATTTCTTTGTTATGTATGTAAATTTTTACTAGATCACGCTTTCAATGGCGTAAATCGGGTTGGCAATATTCCGCTTTGGATGAATGACATTTACAAAATGGCGGAAAGTTTGTTTTGAAACGAGTGAACAAGTATAAAATCTGCAGAGTCATCAGGCTTAAACCACTCGAAGAAAACTGACTAAACTTGCACAAATAGGTTTAAAATAAATTAAAGTATGTCGTGAAGGTACTTTTAACACTCCCTTATCATCTGTTCTACTGTTTTTGTGGCGTGGAATTTGAAGGAAAATGTTAAATTTTTGTGGTGCATAATTAAATTCACCACCTATTTTAGCCGAAGCATCAGAGGTATTTAAAGACCTTTAAAATATAAATGAAAGCTGAAAAGTTAGTCACTACATCATAGTAAATGGTTTATGATATTATTTATAATTTTCAGCAGAGTAATTTTGATGCTATGTCTTTTTGAAAATGGATGAATTTTTCCCCATTTTTTTTTTTCATTTACTCAGAAGGTATATTCAACTTCTTTTTTGTTAGTTATTCCAGGTAAGTATATTAACATTAGTACATGGTTATTCTGCATGTGTTGATAAAACAAAATATTTATAAAATGTCATTTCTTCTATTCCAGATCGTAACAAATGTGTTTCAAGGGTTTCAAGTGGTAGATCAGCGCGACAATTTCACTGAATGCTGATACAGCCCAAAAGTTCAAAGATTTGCAGATTGTGCCAGGAGAGTCCCAGAAGTGTCAAATAAATTTCGGGAATAAAGTGACACTAAATGAAAACACTATAAACAGTCATTTTATAGCCAGTGCGATGCTATTGAAGTTTTATTTAAATCAAGTTATAAAATAAAAGGCAAAACTTATGTGTTTTCATTTTTATTTCTTTTATTTTACTATCAGGTACCAGATACTACCATTTCCAATACCTTTTTGTCTATTCTCTCGAAAACATGTACGTTCATTCAAGAGAACCTGAAAAGATACTGACATATGTAGTGGTGAAACAGTTTACTCAATATAATTGTATAAAAAGCAACACAGAGAGTATGTTTTAAATAAAAACAACTGGATATAGTAATTACAATCTAGCCTTACCCACTAAAAAGCAGTTTCAAACAGGACCGACTGATAGAAAAAGTGTGAAAACTATCACAATTGAACAATTAAATAGATGCACATTAATAACTGTGATTAAATCAATTATTGAAACTGCAGCAAACATCAATTATGACGGTACAATGTACTAATTTTTCACAATACTTTCATAACAAAAAATGTTTAAGCCATTTTTCTTAAAACCAGGTACGTATATTAACGTAATATACGTACCTGAGAAAACGAACATTTTTATAAGAGCTCTTTTCTGATGCAGTTTGAAAATTATATAATCATACTTTTATTCAATTTTAAAAATAGATAGATAGATTACTTCATTCTTTAAAACAATGTACAAATAAAAAAATATAAAGGGCTTAATAAGTTAAATATATGGTAAAAGTTACGTTCGAAATATGCAAGATGATTTTGGCCATGTGATTCTTCACGATATCTTATCCGCATTTATTTAAGATACGCAATAGAAATTGAAAAATAAAAAATTTAAAACTACAGTTTATAAGCTTTTTATAAATAATTTTTCACAAATTTCGGCCAAAAATGACAGAGAAAATTTGGCAGAGAAACCAAATGAAAATAGGTACAGAAAAGCAGAAATGCCTCCCATTGAATCTTCAAATTTTTCCATGTACCTTCAGCATAAGCTTGTTTGTTAGATAACATAAGATCATGCTTCAACCCCATAAACTGAACCTCTGAAATTTAAAAAACAATTAAACCACTAATTTAATGTAAAATCACCATGGATTTAAGATATCAAAATCAGTACTTTTAACTGAAAATTCTTTTAACCTATAATTCTTTGTTAAACTAAAGAACTCATTACGATGAAATTCCCCCTGTTCAAATCTTGATAAATGGTCAGCTAAACGATTCTCTGATGAAGAGATATGTTGAGCTTTAATTTCAAATTCATAAACTGCAGAAATGAAGCAAATCTCCCTTATGTATTTTTGAAGAAACGGGCATTTAGCTTTCCCGGAATTAATAGCAATACATGTAGAAAGATTATCACACAAAATGACTATCCTTGAATGCCTAAAATTAGAAGCCCACAGATGTAAACAAAGTACTAAGGCTAGCATCTCTAATGCACCTATATGTAAATTAAATGACAAAATTTCTGAAGGAAATAAAGCATGGAAATAATTCCCTTCCCAAAAACCACCACAGCCTTCTAGACAAGCATCACAACTTTAAATAGTATCAGGCTCACACCAAGGTCCTAGATACAACAAAGAAATACCATTATATTTTGGCAAAAATTCATTCCACCATAGCAAGTCTTTTTAACCTCATCAGGAATGCAATGTTTAATCTTTTTATCTGCACCATACAATTGTCTGAGCCAATTTAACAATCTAGCCACAAAAATCCTGCTTGGTTTAACACAAGCTCCTATGAAGTTCAATTTCCCTAAAAGAGACTGAAGCTCCTTTAAGGTAGCAACTTTTTTATTTAACCATACTTTCACCAAACTACGAATCTCATTCAAACGATTTGGAGTGATTTCCATAGTCATAGTCTCAGTATTGAACAAAACGCCCAAAAAAGTCATGATTGTAGAGGGTGGTGAACATTTTTCTACAGCTTCTTGTAAACCACACAACTCTAAAACTCTACTCAGAACTGAATAAGCAAAGTCAGCAAGCTCTGGTTTTTCAACCCCAGCTAAATCATCTAAATAGTTCAAAACAGAGATGCCCATACCCAGTAACATAAATGCTACAGCATTAGTAACACGTTGACAAATATAAGCAGCACTGCGAAGACCCATTGATAAAACAACATCACAAAAAAAAAGATTATTCCAAGAATAAGCCACTAAATTATAATCAGAAGGACATATACTAATTTGTCTGTATGCGCCTTTCAAGTCTTTTTTGTATAACCTAGCCGAAGTGCCTTTAGCTAAAATCAACTTAACAAAATCATCTATTCTAGGAAAAATAGTAGAACTTGCCATCCCTAAATATTCATCCTTTTCAATGTAATCATTAACCGCGCAAGAAGTATTTGAACTCAAATCTAAAATTACTCTTCTGTCTGAAACCTCCTTTTTTGGTACTGAATTTAAAGGAGACACTAACATATTATTTGAAAATGGATTTTTTTGAAAAGGGCCTATAATGTGCTCATTTTGAATCTCTTTTTGCAAATATTTGTTAATTTGAACAGGAAAATCATTGGCCCCTTTATAATTTTTGTAATTAGAAGCTTCTAAGGATTTTGAAAATGCATTTTCATTACCAGAAAAATTTATAGGAAAACCAAATTCCAAAAAATCACATACCAGCATATCATTATATTGAAAGGTTGACAAAATTTGTCTCATATAAGAAGTATTTATCTTGTTATTAATTGGAATACGGCAACCTTCAAAATTATGTTTTCCTGACTTTTTAACCAATTCATGAATTAAAATTTTCTTATTAACTTCTGAAAAGGTAGAATTATTTTCAACAAAACTACACATGTGGCATGAACCAGATTGAGAACAAACATGAAAATTTTCCTTTATATTACTTTCTGAATTTTTGAAACAAAATTCTGGTAAAAACAAATCTTCAACCTTATTTTCATTCTTGAAACTTCTGTTGCATGAAAAAAGTCATTGCATAGCATATGGACAAGCCGTGGAACACTCCGGATGATCCAATTTCTTTTTATCTTTCTGCCAACAGGAAGCACAAATATGTTGAGCCATACGCATCCTACCTTTTACAACCATCATGTGACCAGATTTGTTAGAACATTTATTCCTCTGATAAGGAGAACAAAACCAAGTAGAACCTTGACTTTCATCAACAGAATTATCAATAGAAACCTGCTTGTTGAAATTTCTACGATTTCTTGTACTAGATGTAGACTTGCCCTGAACTTGAGGCTGATATTTGCTTAGAATAGCCATTTCAATATAATGGAAATCATCAGACCAGGACTTCTTACCAAGCTCTATTTCCCTAAGAACAGCTGCATAATATGCTTTTAAAATGCTGAAACCATAGGATACGCTTAAATACATTAATCTTTTAAGTAATCCCATTCGTCCTTTTCTTTCTGTAGATTTGGTGTCATTATCAGAGATAATCTCCAATTCACCAGCAATAAAAAGATTCATAGACAAATCATTGAAGGACAGACTCTGGTCAACAAATTCGTATCTTAACTGAGAATGAGGATATTTCTGAACAAATTTCACTCTATCAGACGCTTTAGCCTCGATACCAGATCTATGAGAGCTCTTTCTTCTAATATTTTTATTAGAACTGGGAGAGAACTCTTCATCTGACGAATCAACAATACTAGAAACTTCATTGTCCGAATTATCGGACGTATCCGAATCGGAACAACTTGTATCAATAGAAGGTTCTTCAAGACCTAATTTGCTAAGCTTACGCCGAACTTTACGCTTTAAATCATTATCTTGTCTCAAAGAGTTTAAAGTTACTTTTTTATCCTGACTTTTCTGCAAAGGAGAGCTCTTGTTTACTTTTTTTGAGCAAATTTTCTTCGGTTCTTTAGCATCAGACAACGAGATAGAAATAGACGAAAAATCGTTACCCTTTAAAGATTTTACAGCGTCTCTCTTTTCTTTAAGTTTGCGTCTTAATTCTGCCTTCTCCCGCTGGACTATGCTCTTTTTCTTCTTTTTCTAATTTTTTCAATTCCTCCTTCATGCTATCCAGATCTGAGTCCTCAGAATCAGCAGACGCTTGCTTCTCACAAACTGAAATCCCACAGGGCTTCGATTCCTCCAATAAACCCGCAGAAGCAGTCGGCAACTTATTTACCTCTTCTCCATTGTCATCCGAAATCCACGGTTCTCCTTCGATCATTTTTTTATAGTCTACGCGACCTTTTTTCCTTTCAGTAGTCCTTGAAGACATTTTAGAATAGAATAATAAACCCAGCAAGGGTCTATATCCCTTCAAATGAGAAATTAATTTCTAAATTAATATGAATGTCCAGTGATAACTTGAAACTTTAAAACTTAATAAAATGAAAAGGCGGGAATGCCACACCCTAAAAACAACTTCGAGAAACTTTTTTGAAAATCAAGCGACACTACAAAAATACTAATAGCAATGAAAACTGGAAACAAGTCCCTATAAATAGCCAAGGTGTATGAATATCAAATATAAACCAATGAGAAGTTGTTTTGTTGATGCTAAGAAACAGACACTAAAAATAGAACTAAAAAAGGTAAACAATCCAATGAAGCGTAATTAGTTATTTTAATGCTTAAAATAATTCAAAAATGACGAAACAATAATAACTTGTTACTACATGTATATAAAATTTCTTTTGTGTGCAGTCGCCATTTGGCTGGTAGTAAAAGTTGCGCTTTTTACTCGTTACAATTCCGGAAATAATTTAGCTTTGTAAATGATAATTACACGGTTAAAAAGATCAAATTCTCAGCTTTCTTTTGATAGGTATTTTTCGAAATTCGGACCATAAATGACGAAAAAAACTTATATTTGTTCGAAGAGGGCATCATTATTTTTACTGAAGTTTTGACATAATCGGGAGACAAAAAAAAAAAACTCTGTGTTTAACTCGTCGTAATTTTCTTCATACTAAACACACTGATTTATAAAATATATATTTAAAAAAATCTATCTTTCAGCTTTCTAGAATATGTCACTTTTAAAAAATTGAACAGAAAATAACATGTTGACGGTAATTTAAATAACCAAGGTCAAATATCACTCCGCTTAATGATATGTAATCGTGATAAAAATAAATAACGATCGGCAGTCCGGATGGATTATCTGCCACGACAGCATAATTTACCGTTATTGATTTACTGTATAGAGTTGCGGATACTGTTAATATACGTACGTACCTGGTTGTATATACCTGTTGCAGTTGGTCAGTTTTTTGTTGTTTGTGTATTATGTCATTTAGGGCAATTTTGTTTATATGTGCTTTTGAAATTATAGTGGAATCTGATTAATGTAAGCTTGCCCTTTTTGTTATATTGACTTGGACATTTATAGATTATCATGGATTATGTTCTATAATGTTAGTTCTTACATTAATCCATTAAATATTAAGTAATATTGAGTTTACTTTACTTAAATGTCATACATATATCAATAAATATATTTTGGTACATTATTTTCTGGAGTTTGCTTCTGATTTTGAGATAATTTTTATTAATTTTATTATTTTACATAATGATAATCATTAAAATTAATATAAATTTACCCAACTCCTTCCTTCGTTTTGTTTTTTCTTGTCCACCATCTAGAAGAAATGTTAGCTCCTGGATATTAAACGTGCATGTATCTCTTTCTTTCTGCAGATCAGGATTAACTTCATTTTTCCAATCTTTTAAAAATTCTGCTGTAAGTCGAGCCGCCATTTTGAACTGCAATATGATCTAACCATGATCACGTGATACATAAAAATGCAAATCGCACCTTCTCGGCTCTTTCCGTTAAACTTCGGATATGGTCAACCGCACATATATCTAAGGAATTAATATAAGTGTTATGTTTATTTTCCAATCCATATAAATTGTAAAATGATCCACTTTAAATTTGCTTAACAAAATATATTTTATTTTCCTTTACATGTCAAATAGATCTACATACAAATTATCAATGATTACACCGGCCCCTGTTTTTCACGCGTTAAAACACGGATTTATATTACAATTTAATAGTAATTTAAATCCGTGGTTAAAACTACTTTCAGCCCGTATTAAGTCCGATGTTATTATTTACAAGTTTGCTTCTTTAAAAAGAATTAACATGCGAGTGGCATTTTTGTTGTTCAAATGGCGGGAAAGTAAGAAATTCTGACTGGGCTAACAATAGTAACATAACAGTGTTCAGCGGTAGAAGGTCACCGGCCTATCAAAGAAATCCTATACTATCTTGTGTTCCCAGTTCACCGTCATTCGTCATTTGTCATTGTCTGTTCCTCTTTTTTCATACATCAACGATCTACCAGAATTCGTTAGGACTAAGGCCCATCTCTTAGCTCATCGTCGGATACCCACGGCCGAACCATTAACATTTATCACATTTATTTGCATGTTATGTGACATGTTTATCAATCGTGGGTATCCGACGATGCTCTTAGCTGTACGTACACCATAGGCCTAGTGCAAATGACACTCGATCACTTCTCCGTCAGAATCTCTTGAAATTAACTCTTTTAAATTATATTTCATAGGCCTAAGTTTAAATCTTGGAGAGAGACTAGGCCCTGGAATTTCATTAAATAAAATGGTTGAGAAGGATGCTGCAAAACAGAACTTATATAAATACGTTCACAAGAGCTCAAGTCAAAATTTTGATCAATTATTTGGCACCTCTGGCATGCAAACATCTTAAATCTACACATAACTGCAGGCAGGTATTATGTAACAATTATGATTTCACAAGTAGCGTCACCAATATGTTACAGGAACTTTATTGGAATGTTTTGTCTCAAAGAAGGTTCCATAATTCACTGATATTTTATACCAACTTCAACATCAGCAAGACCGCGCACATTCACTCAGTTCCTACCAGAAACTTAAATTTTCTCATACCTCACTGTCGTACCCAATACCATCTGAACTCTTTCTTTTCTAGAGCTTTCCGCAACTGGAATAGCCTTCCAGGTCATATTCAACCTAGTCACAGCCCTAATATTTTCTCAGAAAGTTTTGCATCGATTAATTAACATTTAAAAATCCTACCATGATATGTTTCTTTTTAATAATCTGCACTCTGTTTCTTTTATCCTTTTTATTTTCTAACGGATACACTTATATCTTATATAATTTTAGATTTATTATACTGTTGTTCCTGTCATAATTTGCATGGATTTTTCGGGAGTAACAAGTAAGAAGTATTTCGGCAATCAACGTTTTTATTTTATTTTGAAAACGATTAACAGTACACAGTATATGTGTATTTATTATCTTTATTTATCATTTACAATACTCAAACTACAAATTATAATACCTATAAATAAATTAAAAATTATACACGTATATAAAAATGTTTCTTTTTAAGATTTATTGGAACTGAATATATAAATCCGTTCTTCACGATATGTCAAAAAGTCCGTGTCATATTTTAGTAATACCACATTTGTGATAATTTAGCAACAAAACTCTCATCAAAATTGTATATTGCTTTAAGGGAACTAAAAACTAAGAACTCTAGATAGAAAATGCAGACAATATGTGTATACATGCGATACAGGTATGGTATGGTATGGTATGGTATGGTATGGTCAATGCGATACAGGTATGGTATGGTCAATGCGATACAGGTATAGTATGATCAATGCGATACAGGTATGGTATGGTCAATGATGGCTGATAAAAGCAATACGTCATATCAGACTCGAATTTGTATAAATAAGAATAACTTTTTGTAGAAGTGTGTACACAGGCAAGTTAACTACCTCTATAATTTTGCCAGGAAATCATTTAGGAAATAGGTGATCTGTGTTATAATATAGCAAGGTATGGAGTCCAGATTAACAAAAGCCTGGGTGATTAATCACAAAACGACAATTCAGGTTGAAAATAAGTCTGACAACCATTTTTAATTTTAATATGCATATACACGGGTATGATGTACAATTATAAGCGACAGTTTGGCATTTTGTACTTAACCATAACAATAAGTATATAAATTCATGTACCGATTACTTTTAAAAATCGATATATCTACTCTGTATATAAAGTTGTATCATAGTTTGGAGACCTTTCTGTTGAAAATGTGTCAGGGTTAAATCGTATACATATACATGCACAGTGCGTTAACTGGAGTGCGGGTATTAGTTACCCGCACTCCAGAGCATGCCCATTGATTGGCTCATTTTTGCTGGGGTTTACATATTGTGACGGCAGAGAAAGGGAAAGCGACAGAAATGTCATATTCAGATGTTCGTTCATTGCCGTTCATTTTTGCCGGGGTTTCATATACAGGGAACGTGCTTTTATGTTTGACTATGATACAAAAGAGAAAGAACACCAAAACACTCGGCAATCTGATTTATACTCGGGGGCTACGCCCCCTCGTACAAATCAGATAGCCTCGTGTTTCGGTGCTCTTTCTATTACTAGGAATTTTTATACACAGTAGATACACGGTGCATTCCATATCGGTACCCTCTTTGCGAAATCTACTCGAACGGTACCCTCTTTGCACATACACAGGCCATTCTCTGCTAAAACAAACCAGCGATGGATAACAAGCCAGTAAAATTCATTGTAATAAGGAAAGGAGGTATGACACGACTCGTGGAAAAGATGTATACCACGGAACACTAGAATGTTTAATTTATGTGCTGATTTGTCATGTGCCCGTTTTTCAAGTACCGCAACTTCACAATAAGCTACATAAAATCGACATGTTTGGTCTCGCCCATCACCTCGACATAATATAACATATTATGTTTCGGACTATAATGAACCAGTCGCTTGATTATATATGCATCATACATATTTCATGTGTTCACTTATATATCATCTTCGGATATATGCAGTATATTATCAAAAATAAATGTAAAATTCATAAAAACACCCCACTTTCGGTTTTGCAGCGACACGGGCTACCTCTTGCTTTTGAATTCTTTATATCACAAGTACCCTCTCATTTTTTAACACACGGGTATACCCACAAAGCAGGACATACGCTTTTATTTGCGTTAAACGTTAAGCATGTAATATTTTCTATTTTTATGTACGTATATATACTATAGTGTCATGATACGGACTTCTGTTATTCACAAATATATAAAATAGAAGAACACATTTGTAGACTTATGATGCTTAATCTTAGAACTAGTCAGTGGCAGGAATCGCCTGTCTTAAATAAGAACTGCCCATTCATGTCGAATTTCGACTACCTGTATTATAAAGTCTTGTCTCTTGCTTCTAGATCGTTCTTTGTTAGAACGGTTACCCGTGTATTAAGAGGGTACCTAGCTGTGATATAAAAATCAATATCAAAGAGGTGGCCTGTTTCGCTGCAAAAACCGAAAGTAGGGTGATTTTATTAATCTGACTAATAACTGCTTTTTCCTGAATATTATGTATAAATGAACACATGTAATAGGTATGATGCATATATAATCAAGCCACTGGTTCATTTCAGCCCGAAACAATATGTCGAGGTGATGGGCGAGACAGGACATGTCGATTTTATAGCTTATTGTTGGGTTGCAATAATTGAAAATGGACACACTGCAATAAACACGCGAAGAAAAAACATTCTAGTGTTCCGTGGTATACATATTTTCCACATGACATACCTCCTTTCGTCATTTGAAGGAGCATTAGGTGGATTGTTATCCATCGCTGGTTTGTTTTTAGCAAAGAATAGCCTGCAGTGTGCATGTGCGTTTAAGTAGATTTCGCAAAGAGGGTACCGATATGGATATGCAACGTGAGATATATCTATTATTTTAAAGGACGTTTTGTCGCTAGATTTTTATTGAATTGATAAGTGTGTGTGTTACAGATTAAAGTTGATAAAAATCATAACTGGTAGTGGTCGAAAAGGGTAGTCGACCGAATAATTATTTTTGCCATCAAGTGCCTATGGACGTATTTCGAGGTCCATACGAAATATACGGTGTTCAGTTAGCAGTTAGGGGAGGCGCGTTTCCTCTGAGAACGAAATGCGCGAAACTTGACAGTTCGTTGTTGACAGTGCGACAGTACGATGGTGACAGTGCGACAGTACGATGGCGAAACAACTGCACGATGGTGACAGTCCGTCGCACTGTCATCATAGTACTGTCACCATCGTACTGTCGTACTGTCACCATCGTACTGTCACCACCGCACTGTCTTATTGTCACCATCGTATTGTCGTTCTGTCGCCTTCCTGGACATGGAAGAAAACGCTGACCGTGTCATAAAGTCTGAATTCAACAATGGCCTAACATACATGTAAATCCTTGTAGTGATGAGAGAAGATTGAAATTGAAGTTGATAAAAATAATCCAAATAATGAAAATACAACTGCGCCGTATCATATTTTATTTTCAACTGCGTCGTATCATTTCGTAAAAATCATTATTTTCTTGGAAAATAAACATCTCTTTTTAATGAAATTTAAGTAAATGATGCAAAATTACATTTCGGAGTTTATGGTGAACTCTGAAACAAATATATAATTGATTTGAAGGAAAAAACGATAGATAAAGCAATATGAACTGCGTCGTATCCACACATTTTCATAAAAATTCTGCCCCGCTTCGAGTTGCAAGTTCGCTATAACTTTTGTTTTACAAAACAGTTGTGCAAGCAACATATACCGAACGAAGCGGAAAATAGTGTAGCGTGTTAATACATATAATCTTGTTTTCAGTCATTTCCAACAATAAAAGTTAAAAACAAAAACATACGTTTTTTGTTCCAAGATGGCGGCGTTTGTTTACATTTTGTAGGATACGACGCAGTTTTGATTCCCAGCCCTGATACAGGTAGTCGGAATTCGGTGGTATGATGGCGTAAACGTTTCAATTTTTGTTTTCTTGTCTGCGTCATCGACTCAACGTACCTTTTGTGGTTTATAAATGTTTTCGGGTTGTATATTTTAGGTCCTAACGGAACACCGTAGTACGGTTTTAATATCGGCAATCGCCCTAGCGAAACACCTTTATACAATATAGGATTAACAATGATCGCAAATTTTCTGAAAATCTGAGTCAAGTCTGGACAGATATTAAACGTAAGGCTATAGCTATGGTATTTGCCTATTTGGTCTTTATGAAAAATTTAGTTTTATACAATTAGCGTTTTATCGCAACATGCTTCCAGTTTCGTGTTTATTTTCATCAAAATTTGAAAAATGTTTTGGAAAGTAAAATATTTTGAAGTGAGCAAAGAAAGAAATTTACACATTGCAAACGGCACTTAAAGTATACGAAAATTACCAAAATTAGGTCAGAATATGCAAAATAATTTTGCACTTACTGTGTTAGTCACGCAGTAGAAATATTGTGACTAAGTCAATAACCGCACGTAACAGCTATAATTGTAGTATCGTACGCGTGCAATGCTGATTAACGCCGTAAAAAGATATGAAACTGAATGCGTATGATCAGATTGTGTTTATTACCCATAAATTGTTTTATTAACTTTTATTCGCGCGAGCTCGGTTGTTCCACTTAGGTAAACACATGTATCAAAAGCGTGTATCGCAAACATTTCTGGCTAACTTCTGGCTAATTTGCGAGGGGTCGGCCGTTCTTCTTACACTTACATCAGCTTCCGTTGATGACTTCTGCGGTTCGACACCGGAAACTATTTTCACTAAGTTCTAATGCTTGCTATTAAGAGTCAAATGTAACAGCCACCTGAAAAATAAAAACATGATTTACATGAATGGCAATTAATTCCGCACATGAGCAATTGCCGAACATTTCAATTATCTTGAACTCGTAGATGCATTTTGTTTCAGCGATACAATGCCGATTAAATGCATGAGAAACTAAACATTATTTTCTTAGCCTATAATGACATCTTTGTGTTAAAGTGCGGCACTTGACATCACCAAGGAACTCATTGTTAGATATACATGTATGTACATTCCTTTGTCGTTGGGAAATGATCACAATTTTATACTTAAATAGATTGTATAACATCTCCAAGTTATATTGACAAACCAAGTTGCAAAGTTTATTGCGCAACTCCTGGATTTTTTTATCAGAGGGACGAGGGGTAACATACATTCTATGAAAGGTTTTATATAACAATTTAAGCCTTCCGGGCAAGAGTAAAACATTTTGCTGATTTCCTGTAGTTTTTGCGTGACCTTCGCCAAAATACGTAAAATTATATCCAAATCTCAGAGGGATTCCACAGACAAACCAAATCGCTGGGATTTTGGGGTGGTGGGGGGCGGGGTGGAAGGTAGAGTGTCATAAACCCTAACCCCCGTTCTTGATCCGCGTATGTAATTTATTCAATAGTGGTTTAACTGTATCAAAGGGAGTGGTTTAACCTTATATCATTAATCCCCGCTTTATTATTAAATGAAGAATTGAAACCGAAAATAGACGTCTAATTTCCCGAAAGCATGATATAGGTCAAAGTTTAAACGCCGCACATACATGTCACAACTGATATACAAGGAGTGTTTAACATTATATAAATGATTCTATAAAATATATATTATTATTATATTACATTAAACTGGATATAAACTATACTTTAATATTTCTTTAATCAATTTACGTGGAAGTCAGTAATTTGCATCGCGTAATCGATTATCTAGGACAGAAAGGTATGTAGTGAAAAGACATGAATATATTTAGACTTTTAAATTTAAGTTATTTACGATTATTTTTTTTACAATAAACTAATATGCTATATACGGATACGTTTTACGTGTGTCCAACAATGTGAGGGTATAATTTTAAGAATTCTAATTTCCAATTTTATTGCCTTAAATAATACAACCATCAGTTTTTACAAGATGGGAAGTTACTAAGTCTGGGTGTGGACAGGGGACAATAATATGGTAAAGCCACTATTGATAGATCCCTACTCTGACCCTTTATTTGAATAACAGTAGATTAAACCACAAACATGGACATGTGCTCTTTTGTAAACAAAAAGCTTGTGGTGAAATTGTTATTGTATAATAAGAATGATATAAATCGGGGGATCTATGTATTAATATCACGCAAGTTTTATGTCAGACCTCAACTTTTTTTAACATAAATTGAACATACACTGCCGGAGACAGCCTGACAGTATTTGTAAATGACTGACAACCATTTCCCGATCTGAACGTTACATTATGTGTAGGCAATCCGCATCTAAGGCAATCAAAATCACATTATTTAATTTCTTTTTATGCCCCCACAATGTGGGAGCATATAGCGTTGCACTTGTCCGTCCGTCCGTCAATCCGTCAGTCCGTACGTCCCGAAATCTTGTGAACGCAACTCCTCTTAAACCGGATGGCAGATTTTGCTTAAACTTACAGGGATGAACAACCTTAATGTGTAGATGGTAGTAAAGGAAGGAATTTTCGCTGCGACCAAATTTTACAGAATTATGGCCCTTTGTTGATTTTTTCACTAGATACTATGTAGAAATTTTGTGAACGCAACTCCTCTTAAACCGGATGGTAGATTTTGCTTAAACTTACAGGGATTAACAACCTTAATGTGTAGATGGCAGTAAAGGAAGGAATTTTTGCTGTGACCAAATTTAACAGAATTATGGCCCTTTGTTGATTTTTTCACTATATACTATGTAGAAATTTTGTGGACGCAACTCCTCTTAAACCGGATGGCAGATTTTTGCTTAAACTTACAGGATGAACAACGTTAAGGTGTAGATGGTAGTAAAGGAAGGAATTTTTTGCTGAGCGACCAAATTTTACAGAATTATGGCCCTTTGTTGATTTTTTCACTATATAACTATGTAGAAATTTTGTGAATGCAACTCCTCTTAAACCGGATGGCAGATTTTGCTTAAACTTCCAGGAAATGAACAACCTTAATGTGTAGATGGCAGTAAAGGAAGGATTTTTTGCTGCAACCAAATTTAACAGAATTATGGCCCTTTGTTGATTTTTTCATTATATACTATGTAGAAATTTTGTGAACGCAACTCCTCTTAAACTGGATGGCAGATTTTGCTTAAACTTCCAGGGATTAACAACCTTAATGTGTAGATGGTAGTAAAGGAAGGAATTTTCGCTGCGACCAAATTTAACAGAATTATGGCCCTTTGTTGATTTTTAGTTTTCAACTTGTGGCACATGTAGTCCAAAAAATATTTGACCTAGAGTCATGAGATTGACAGAACAGTGGCGTGTGGGGGCATCCGTGTCCTATGGACACATTTCTAGTTTTTATTCAACAATAAAAACAAAATGATGTGTTCTTAATGTTTCCTTACTGGTTTAAGTATTTAAACATTAGCACCTGTATGTAAGGAATGATATGTTTTAAGTGAAGTTCTTGAATGACATGCTTTTCAGATAACCTTTGTTTTAAATGAAGGCTTTAATATTTTCAAATGATCTACTCTGTAGTTACTGTACATTGTTGTGAAATAATCAATTAAATTTTATGTGTGTGAAGATACCGGGAGTTTATTTATGCAGGCGTCACACTGTCCCGAATTTGGCATCAGATGGACACACGAATAAGGAAATGTTCAAATTCGGATCTGATCGTAATAACATCGTGCCATTCGTGAGGGCATCTTTTGCCATCGTATGATCCCCGGCTGAATATTACAAGCTCCGGCAGCAACTTCGTGAGCGGTTCCAAAATCTTTTGGCATGCCAAAAAATTGCCCGAAGACATTGCGAAGGTTCATTTTCGTGTTGAATTCGTATGTCAATTTTGCCATTCGTAAGGCCACCGTGAAGCCATCTTGTCAAATCGTGTAGTCTTCGTCTTTTATTCGTGTGATCATCGGTGCAATCTGACATTTTTAGCCTCAAGAAGACAATGCGAAGTAAACACGAAGATTCCCGATACTCTTTAAAAGGGAACACGACTACGTGAAGCCCCCGCAATACCGTCGTGTCGCCATCGTATTTTGGTACGATGCCATCGAGATGGGATCACGATGAGGCCGAAGAAAGCAATTTTTAGTGGCTCAAGCGTTGCATGTTTATCATGGTGGACATATAAACGGCTAGACCATCTTCCTCATCTGTCACTCTTGCACATCTCTACAGAGACATCAAAAGCTTCCATTATTTACAATTAATTTACAATTATTTTCCTGCAGAAATTACATGCTTTGATGAAGTGTCAACCGAGAAAAAGAAGGCAGCAGCATTGCTACTTTTAAGACACCTTGGAAAACATAATGAGGCCCACGGGCCTACTTTGAGTGGTATGATAAAGTTTTATCAAATATGATAAACAAGATCAACAAGGAAAGACAACGTTCAATGAACGCAACCGCCCCCCCCCCCCACACACAACCAAGCAACAAGAACCAAGTAACACAAAAGGACCCCCCCCCGAAAAACGGACAGGGAGAAAGGTAGAGCACGGATAGGCTTATCACTTAAATGATACATAAGATGAAATAATGGTAAACGACAAGGAAATCAAAGAAAACAAATAAATGATTGATTTATTAAATAAATAAAACTAGGGGCAAAAGGGAAAATACTTACCGTAGACGAGAAAACAGCAAGGGATGCCGACAAAAGTGTCACCAAAACAGTATGAAATAACAAAGACATGCATCTGAGGAACAAAGAGGGGCGCCGCCTTGGACCGGTCAGCAGCATAAGCACTGCTGGGGAGTTTAAACCGGTTAATAGTGCACCAAAAATCACTTTTAGACCACCATGTTCCTATAAACGAGACGGTTTAAACAACATGAATCCTCGCCAAGTAAATTTATAACAGTTGTTATGGTTTCAAAAGGTAAAATAAGTAAAACACCGAGATGATTATGTAGATACATATAAACGAATACCCATATGACCATAACAAAAGTACTCAATATTTTAAAGGAAGACAGAGTAACAAAAAAAATCACCTACAAGGGCCCGACGAATCAAGGCAGAAGACGAACATTAAGGCATTTCAGTCCCAAAGGGCATTAAGAACTGTCCATCATAGAGTATCCCACTTGGTCCGTCAGATGTAATCATAAGAGGAAAGACACTATGCATGCGGTATATCTAAAAAAAGTAGTCAAAACCTCTTCTGGATAAACGTTTAATAATTTTAGTTAAGGCAACAATGACCAGAGATCTTGCGAAGTTTGTAAATAACATCTCCGTTAAAATCATTTTTGAATCACTACTGAAATTTGAGATTAAATCAAAGTAACGAGTGTTGAATTTTGTAAAATATCTACGTAATTTATAATAGCGGTAGCCCTGTTTGAGTAGCTTGCTAGTAATGAAAATATTTAGCTTGTTAAAATCCTTCACGTTGCTAAAAGCTCTAGTGAATCTTATTTACTGAGATACATATACCCCGTCAGATGTTGCTTGCGGTACGTCTCCATCTAAATGTGGATAGTTTACTATATCATAATCATAGATTTTTGTGTGAATAGAATTGTTTTTGATAGTAATATGAAGAGCCAAAATAAAGTTTAAACGTAGTTTAATTAGCTCCCAATACTATCTGCAACTGAAATTAGCTGCGGTTGGCCGTGGGTTGTATACCACCCGGAGGTGAAGGTCACTTGACTTCTTCGTAACCACGTACGAAGGCATCGTAATCAAAATACGACGTCGGGTACCTATCTTGTGACCTTCGCGTGTCCTGCTGGTAAACTACTTTGTACAAAATTGCATCTTTATGGTGACTTCGTGTGTGTATCGGATGTGATCGCGTGACCTTCGGTAGGAATCGTGTCTGGCTCGGATGCTATCGCGTGACCTTCTGTAGGAATCTACCTTTTTCGGCTGTTAAGAGACTGTCGATCAATTTCGGGGCTATCTTCGCACGAAATTAAAAATTTCATATTCGTATGCCCATCTGGTGTCAATTTCGGGACAGTGTGACGCCTGCATAACAAACATCATCGATCCGCCCACGCATCTATACCTATAATCTGTTTCAAAATTGATCAATAATGTTATTAAATATTCTCCAACATATATGGACATCTACCCCCGAATCCAACTTCTTTTAATAATAAGATGTTCAAATAATAAAAATATCGATGATACCTTTTTTCAGATGCTCAGTTACCATGTCACTTATTATATAATATATTGATATACCATGTATTGTACACTCTTGTACACTCTTGTGTTGCTATTTGAAACTAGAGTTAATAAAGTGTTGTTCTGTTCTGCTCTGTTCAATTAAATTTTTTTGTCGGTTTCTATTTTTTTTTCTGCATCAGTATTTAATGTCAAGATTTTCAAGAAAACAAGTGTAAGCTGTGTGACAATAATGTGATGGTTACTTAGGAAAGAAATGACACCAGTTATTTTCAGATTGCTTAAGCCAAAAGGACTCGAAAAATATTTTAGAAAAGAACGCTTTTCATAAGGCGATTCTGATTGCCTACACTAACTGTAGTCGGATTGACCGCACCTACCTTTCCCAAACAATCTTAACTGCAGTTTTTTCATGTAACATACGATTAAATAATATACAATTGTGTATCGAGTATATGTTTGTAATATCATAAAAAAGATACATATATATTTATACTATTAAAATGTATAGTAATGACAGAAATGATATCTCAGTCATATATGTAATATTTTAACGCATGTTACATGGAAAAAAGCACATTACACTTTAGATTGTTTTGGAAAGTTTGGATGGGGAGGGGGGGGGGGAGGAGGTTGGGTTTGTGACCAATCAACGCACCGATCACCCGTACTTTAACACATGGGCTGCTATTTCATCAATAATACGCACGTCTTTTTAAGACTTCAATGTATTATCAATGCATTTAATTGTAAAATGTAACGTAAACCTACTAATTATCAATTTTTAATTAGCAATTTTGATAGTTTAATTCTGATTTTAATTTTAAATTGAATATTTATTTGGTAATTTACATGGATAAAAGGTGACTTTGCAGTGTGTAATTACTTTTTTTCACTTGAAAATGTGTTCCTTAAAGTGACATTATGCTTGATGCAATAATTTACTTCCCATAAACAATAAATAACCACCGGATTCATACTACGACATTTCAGTAAATATCGTTTAGAATTTACCTGTAAGCGGGGCAGTCTTTTTATATTTTAGGCATATTTTAAATTTTATCCTAAACATTTTCCAATATAATCTGTTGGTCAAACATCATTTAAACAGCCAATCTCTTGAAATATAAAGCCAATTCAGCTCCACTTGACAATGAAAATATTAGCATAATGTCGATTTAACACATTTTCATGAAAATAAGTATGAATATGAAGGCATACTGCTTTGATTATTTTAACACTTTATTCCATACAGTGTACTTAATTTTTCAGGTTATCGTTTGCACCATATTAATATTTTGCATGTTTAATATTTTCCATGAAAAGGAAATTTGATATACACTAATGTAAATATATTTTTTGCGTCTTTTAATTTCACATTTTGTAAACGCATCACTGGGAATGTATGCATTCAAAATCATTTTGCTGACAAATTTGAATACACCTGAATATTAAATGTCAATGTACATAAACATGTTTTACCTAAATAATTCCTTTGAAAAATTGCAACTTTAATTGTGAGAAAAAAATCAAATCCTTTTGTAGCAAAGGAATCATGTACATAGGCATTGTACTGTTAGTTAACATAGACCGCTTATCGAGCTAAGAGCAATGATTAATAATACAAATGTATCTTGATTGAATCGTGTACCCTCTACATCTGGTAGAGTATTTTAAATATAGTATTTGAATCAAGTTTTGTTAAAGATTTAAGCCTTCGATTGAGTACAATACATAAAAAATGAAATTTTAAGACTTTATGGAAGCTTTTTACCCGGTCCTTCGTTTTTTCAGTAGTTTAAAAGGAAACCGTTATTGTGAAGGAATCTTTTTATATATAAAGCAAGTTATTTAAACTATATTAATGCACGTTATTTATTTCAGTCACTATGTCAAAACGATATGTTGATAACGCACAAAACCGAAGGCTTGGGCGCGTTGGATTGCCACTGGGTAGCATGCCAGAACATAAGGACAACAGGGGGACGACAAGTACCGGAAATGAACAGCCTGCGCGGAATGGAACAAGTTCTGATACCTATGTCGACAATGCACAAAACCGCGGGCTCGGAAGAGTTGGCTTACCTAAAGGTTCGGCGGTTGTATCTAAAACTAGCAGCAATAAAAGTCTTGGCGCGAACGCCAGTATAAACCATGGTGATTCTGTAGCACACAGAATGCAACCAGCACAGAGTGGTGCGTGTGCTGATACTTATGTTGACAATGCAGAAAAACGCAAGGTTGGGAGAGTTGGGTTGCCAAAGGGAAGTGCCGTCGTGTCTAAGGTTAAGAACAATGAGATAAATGACAAAACGAACGATTGTGTTCGAAGTGGTGTGGCTTCAGCTGCGGAGCATCTAGCACAACCGGCTGCGACTGGTACTTATGTTGACAATGAATTCAACCGCAAACATGGGAGAGTTGGGATGCCAAAGGGAACTATGGTTGTTTCCAAGGCTAAGAACAACAACCAAAGAGACAGTGACAGTCGAAACTCGAGTCCCGATTCTGTAATACCTGCTAAGAGTCTAAATGGTAAGAATTACGAAGTTGCCAAACAGATGGGAACAGTGGATTCATTCTCCGATGATACTACACCAATTGGTCATAGAAGTGCTGTGAAATCCGGTCCCGATGGAAATCTTTCTGTCAACTTTGATGTCGACACGACAGATCGGCGTAAGGTATATGTAGATAATCCACAGAACCAGAAGTTAGGAAGGGTTGGTATGTATCATGGAGAGGCTGCCGTATGTAAAGACAGTAACATCAGCCATGTTCCGGCCACAGATGTAAAGCGTTACGTTGATAGTCCTACCAATCAGCGTCTAGGACGGGTCGGATTACCGGTTGGTACAGCGGTATTTTCATCGAAGAATAAATGTGTTATGCAGAAAAACTACGATAATAGCAGTTTGAATATAAAGCTAGGTCGAGCAGGTAAACCACTTGGAAGCTTGCCTATACAGAAAAAGAAGAGCAAAACCACGGCCAAAATCCCCGAAATGTTGAAAAGGATTGAGGACAAAGATGAGGTAAGAACAACAATATATCGGCATTTCTGTTCACACAATGAATCAGTTGTTTTATTAGAAGCAGTCATTTAGTATTATATCCTTTTCATAATCAGAAGAAAGTGTGAAGACGAGATTAGTCTTTGTTGTAAATAGAAAAAGACATGTCAAAGTTGATTAGCCCCTATTGCAACTTTCCCGCCACCTTTCTGTTAGATGTACAGCCCTGGTATAGATTCTTTGGCGTGAGAAGTCATTTCAATTATGCATTAGTGACATTAATGAGGATACTATTTCAAAGGAAGTATATTGGGTCTTCTTCGTGCAACTTTCCCTTTATAAAATTTCAAAAAGTTGAAAATGAATGTCGAATTTCATTTAGAGAAATATACATGTATATGTTACAAGAATATAACTGATAGGCACTAAAGCACGATTTGCGTCATACATCTTTTTACATAATACACAAGTAAATGGTTTCATTAATTCAATTTGCTTATGGAAGAATACTGCTAACATAGAACAAACTTGAAGAATGATATACCGATTTGTGGGCAAAATAATATTCATAAATATACACAAACTGCATAGTCTGCTATATCGCATGAAAGTAAATATATCGAAATTTATAGAAAATGTCATAAAATTAAAAAACGAAACAAACTAAAGAATAGAAAACACAGTTACCCTTGATGCATGCAGTAAATTCATTGTTTATGTATATATATTTTTTTCTTTTCGGCAAATCGCGTATGTGAAAGTAGGTCGGGATTCAGTTTTCTAAGCTAGTAAAAAAAACGCGTTTATTATACAATGTACAATATATATACCGGTATATTGAAGGTGATCATTTTTAATGAAACTATTTACTACCTTTGGTCACGGGGCAAAAACGCTGGAAGAAAATGTCAGATACGAAACGTCCAACATCTGTTATTAAATTATATCTAGATATTGATAAGAAATACGACAAAAACTCGAATTTGGGAATTTCATACATATTGGAAAAAAATGCTGATTCTTACAAAACTAGACGGACTAATTATTCGTTGAATTTATTTCCCCGCACAATCCATGGCTAATGTGCCATGTTTAATAAATTCAACGTTTCGTAATAATTTGATTAATCCACTCACCGTTTCAATTGAAAACATCCCATAGATACGATGTATGGTGGATAAATGGTATCAAATAACCACTTTGTGAATTTGGACAGTTATTGCCCCGTCACACGAAAATCTGAATTAAAGGACACAACAAACTAGCAATAACCAGCAACCACGCGTTGCTGTTATCGTCTTTTCGCTACTTTCACCCTGATTTAAACACTCTTAAACTCTTAACAAGACAAGAATCAGCGACCAAGATCAATTCTTTTGTGTGGATAATATCTAGATGAAAACAAAATTAAACATGAATTTCGTATACTCTTATATTTTTGATGTTGATATTTATTTTCAGTTTTCGGATTATAGATTTGAGGACAGGGGATCCATCAGTTGTGATATGGGGTTGGCATTGCTTGACTCGCAAGGAGACAGGGTTGAAGCATATGATCAAGCGATGTATAGGCACAACCGACTTCAAGAAGAAATTTCGTGGGAGCAGAGCGGCCCGACAAAAGCTCCTCCAAAGACTCAGTTTGATATTTTGAAAGATTACAAAGGTAAGAAGATCCCATACGACGAGCTTAAACTCCGTAAGGTTATTGGAAGTGGTGGTTTTGGCCGAGTTTATTTCGCTAAATGGCAAGAAACGGTTGTAGCTGTCAAGAAGCTTCAAAACGAGAAGATCTCGGAGTCAAGAATTAAGGACTTTTCCGTCGAAGTCCTGAAGTTTTGTACGCTTGACCATCCTAACATTGTGAAATTTATAGGAGCTTGCGTAGAGAAACCGAATCTCTGTATCGTAATGGAATACATGCAGATGACCCTTTACGACGCCTTGCATGTAAAAGATGACACCATCAACTTCAGCGAAGATGAACAGATCGATATAATTAATCAGACGAGCGCAGGATTGGAATATTTACACACCAAAAGAATCGCACACTGCGATCTTAAAACACCAAATATCTTAATGGATTATGTTCAAAATGAAATTTGTGAAGTTAAAATCACAGATTTTGGTCTAAGTATGATTATACACGACACAACGGTATCGGTAGATGAACTGGTGCGTAATATTGGCACGCCGCAATATTCACCACCAGAAATGCTCCGTGGAGAGGTACTCTCCGCTAAAGATATGATGAAGGCAGACGTGTATTCATTGGCTATTGTACTCCTAGAGGTTATTTTCAAAGATGAGCCGTTTCCCGATTATACGTACCAACAGCTTAAGAACGAAGTAGGCATAGAGGGAAATGTGCCGGAAGTCCCATCGTCTCCAGATATCGATAAAAGTATTAAGGACATCATGAATCTAGCTTGGAGCTTTGAACCAAGAGAAAGGCCCACTGTATCAGACATTTGTGAGACTGTTCGTAAATGTCAGTCAATCTACAAGGACTAAAAGATTAATTCCATTAAAATACAAAGATCTCAAAAGTAATCCCTTTTATCATCAACACTACGGGTTACTTCATGCATACATTTAAGGATCGTGGTAATTTCTGATGGTATTTTTGTCGTCTGGAATTGAAACAAATATTTTTAACGTTTCTCAATACGAATGTAGAGTTTGCTTTCTGTGTGTTATGATTCTCAATGGATTGTTTTAAGTGGATAAATTAGCTACTTCTTTGCGAGAAAAAATACTTTTCGATCCTATGACTTTTAGTTCAAAATTTACCAAAGGTATTTTGCCGATATTTCTAAAGCAAAAGAACAGCCTTAGATAAGAGCATGCATCAAAGTATCAGTTCAAAGATTATAATAAAATCGAAACTTTCTGGAAAAGTGTAAGAATATTTATCATTGTTTTCTTGCAGTTACAGATTCACTGGCTAGCCTATTCCGCCTAGTGAAACAGTTCAACATACCTTGTCATTGCTGTAATGCTGCATATAGATCGAGAAACAAGTGAACAAATTTTGTTTAATTACACAATTGTATATACGGTACTATTTTTAACATTTTATGTTTCCCCATTTTTAGCTCGTCTGTTTGCATGATTGATGCGGCGCCGTTGTCGTCGTTTTCCTGCAAAAAACTTTAATGTAGCCAATTATTCAAATATTTTATCAACATGAATGCTTATCATGATAAAGTGGAGTTGGCAGACAAGGGCCATAATTCTGAAAGATGTATGTTTGGACTTGTGTCCCTTTTTAATCTAGAATTTTTGTCAGAAATGGTTATTTAAAAAGACGAGCGTTAACACCGAATGTAGTCTTCTTCTTTATTCCTTCTTTTAATTTGAGTTTGGGTGATGCATGCTACAGTTGTGCGTGCGTGCGTGAGTGTGTGTGTGTGTGTGTGTGTGTGTGTGTGCGTGTGTTTACTTGCTTTAATCAAAGTTAAATTGTTTTATTCTTGACTAGGAACATGACACAAGAATGTCACACGAACTTTTGCAGGATTTTGTCATAAATTGATATGTTATTCATAGATTTACAACATTTTGATATTGTGCTGTATTTATACTCGTATTATTCACATTGTGGCATTCACGGGCGACTAGCTTAATAAATAGAGCTCTACTGATATGTTTTTTTTTTCAGTTAGACAACTTACTGATTAACTTTTATTTGATTTTATTAACCTGTCAATTATATACTGTTTATACGAAAAATACACACCATATATTAATCTTCGACTGATTCTCGGTAAGTTCCGTGAGATGTACGCAGTCAGATGTGATTTAATTTAATTTATGTCTAAGAAATAATTAATCTGACTGTTATAGTACAAAAGGGTAAATTACGGTTTATAGTTCCTAAATGACCTACCTGAGCCTACGTTCGTGTTTTTCTTCTTATTTTTATTTTCAACATTACTGAAGCTATGTTTGTTTAATGTTGTTCGCGTTGTTTTAATATGTTTTGCATTTATTTTGGTAATGTCTATACTCTTAAAAAACATTGTTTACGAATTAATATTTAAAATTCATTCGGATTAAAATTAATCAATTAAAACAAGGCCGTAAAACACAATACCAATCGAGACAAAATTGTTTTTCCAAGTTGCTCCATATCCGTCTGGACAATTTTGCAAGCACTCGGCCATTTCCATTAAAATATACTGCAAAAAAATAAAGTATAGGTCTAAAACAATGGCAACAGTAGGAATCGAACCACTTGCATATCATACATATTAGGCAATCACTTAACCGATTGTGCTATTGCGGATGTGACAACGACCTACTTTAAGCTCGAGTGACATTTCAAAACATAAGCTATTGATTCCATTTTAATTCTCGTAAGCTACACGGACAAAACCGAAGTGGGATCGAATATTTAAATGAGTGATGTAATGTTATCATAATTGACAGGTCAATAAATCAGACTATACATGATTTTACATCACATTCTATAGATTCGTATATAATGTATATATAGTGAGATAACTTTTGTAGTGTTAATTTTTAATATTTTTTCATAATTTGTAATAATTCAAATATGATATTGGTCTGAAAAAATGACATTGACTGTGAAGGTCAGATATCAAGTTTGTATTATATTTTGTCCAAGAAAATGATGTTTTCTATGAATAATTCTTACTACAATATTTTTCCTCCGATGTATTTGACTTAAAAATTAAGCAAAAACCGAGCGCGGCTCCCGCTTGGCCATGGCTCTTGTTGATTTAAATGAGCTATATTTTAATAATGTTTAATGTTTAATTGATTTTTAAAATTGTTTTATAAAAGCTATATCGTATGATATTTTTAATGAATTTAGGAACAGTAAAATTTTGTTATTTCGATAATCTTATAGTCGATTTTACAAAGAGGTCTCACATGAATATTGTATGAAGTGTAATTTGAACAAAATGTTCCGGAGCAAAACAATTACATGAAGTGTTTTCTCCAAACAGAAACAGTGTAGTTAATAGAAATTCGTTTTTGTGATTATTGTTTTGCATTTATTTTAACAGTTTTATCTGGCAAGCAGCTATATTTACAAATTTTTTTATATGTATGTGTTCTTGCTTATTTTTATTATTTGTCTAGACCAAACTTTTGTATCTTGTACATGGAATAAAATGTAATGCTTAACATATTTGTACTATTCTTTGTTGCGTGGACAGCATAAATAAGCCAAGGTAACGAGATTGATATGCTGTTCCTTTTAACGCTCACCTAATAAAAAATTGCAAAATATATTGCAGATGAAGGTAAAATCAGGGGCCACAACTCTGTCATGATGCGTAATGTTATCAAAATGATTTAAGAATGAGACCTATTTTATTTTTATGCAGGTTCTGTGCAAGTTTCATTTGAACAAAGAAAGAATTTTCAACCTATCACTTATTGTTATATATCACACTAAATCGGAAAACATCGTGCTTAACGATCTTCGGAAGGGATAGGTGTCAAAAAGGTTATAATGCTTATAGCACAAGCAACACTGGCAGGCACGAATCCAGCTGAAGCCCAACCCCAAGACCCCCCCCCCCAACCTGAAAAAAAAATCGATGAAAAAAGGCACATAGAAAGTAACATATTGGCTAACACTGGCTTTTAGACAAATGTAAGTCACTTAATCCTTGTTTACTATTGTTGGAGTTTCGACCCCTGCTGAGCTTACTGCCATTACATACAATTCATTAAGTCAAAACACTGCACGCCTTTGGGCAATTTGTCAACATAATGTCTTAGGGTCATAAAAAAATTTCATAACATTCAAGGTGGATATATTTGTAATTTACTAGTACATATATTGCGATCTACTTATTTAAGAGTTCTTCGGCTTATTTACTCAGTTTTATGTAAAAGCTTAATGTGTCTGTATTTGAAAACATTGTGTTGAGAAGTTGTCTAGAGGCATACTGTGTTTTGACTAACAGGATACTCAGTGCGAGTCTAGGCTCCAATACACAAGGATTTAGTGACTTGCATTTATCTTAAGCCAGTTTTTGCTAAAATTTTACTCTCAATATGCCTTTTGCTAAAACTTTACCCTCAATATGCCATCTTTGATAGAAAATTTATTTTAGGCCAGAGTGTCGGGTGTGGATGAGGGGGTGGGGAGGCATCACCTACCCCCCCCCCCCCGGTGGATCCGGGCCTGATACAACTGCGCTACGTCATATTGCAAGTTATACTGGGCAGATATCACGCCATATTGCCATTAATACTGCGCCATACCTCAATGTCATAGCGCGCCGTTCTCATAAATCGATGACACTATGACGGAAACGTTTCAATTTTTGTTTTCGTATCTCCGTCATCATACCTTTTGTGGTTTCGACTTCGTACTTTGACCTAACATAAAACCGTAATACGGTTTTTACTATTGGCAATCGCTCCAGCGGAACACCTTATACATGTACGATTATCAATTATTGCAAATTTTCTGAAAATCTGAGTCAAGTCTGGACAAATATTAATGCTAATTATATTGTCAGATTTTATTATCTAAAGGCTATAGCTATGGTATTTGGTCTTTATGGAAATTTAGTGTTAGAATTGGCGTTTTATCGCAGCATGCTTCCAGATTCGTGTTAATTTTCATCAAATCTTTTAAAATGTATTAAAATGTAAAATACATTCACTGTGAAGTGAGAAGAGAAAGAAATTTACACATTGGTCAGAATATGCAGAATAATTATACACTTACTGTGTTAGTCACGCAGTAGAAATATGGTGATAAATACTGGAAAATAAGTCAATAACCGCACATAACATCTTAATTATTAATTGTGTCTTTTAACTTTTCTTATCATATTAGTACACTTTTCGCAAGTTTGATTTTCTTGAAATATTTTGGCTGATCTGAAGGCATGCAGCTTTAACTGTATAGTATCCGTTTATATAATATTGTACGAGTGCAATGCTGATTAACCCCGTAAAAATATATGAAACTGAAATGAGTATGAAATTGAGCTGATCAGATTGTGTTCCTTATCCGTAATTTGCTTTATTAATTTTATTGATTTTTTTTTCTTTTCGTTTTGTTGGCGCGAGCTCGTCTGTTCCACTTAGGTAAACGCGTATATCAAATGCATGTATCGCAAACATTTCTAGCTAATGTCCTGCTAATTTGCAAGAGGGTCGTTCTTTAACAACTGGTTCAATTGATGAGTTCTGCGGTTGGACGTGGAAAACTATTTTCCTTAACTTGCAATACTTGCTATCTTAAAAACTCAGGTTAATTAACAATCACCTGAAAAAATAAAAGCATGAATTTTCCTGAATGGCACTAAATGCCACAAATGAGCAATTGCAGAATATTTCACTTATCTCGAACTCGTAAATGCATTTTGTTTGACAATCAAATGCCTGAGAACATGAACATTATTTTTTAGCCTAAAATCATACCTTTGTGTTTAAAATGGGTCCTTGAAAATTGTGTGAACTCACAAAATAACTCGATCATTGTTAGATGTACATTTCTTTGTCATTGGGAAATGATCAACATTTTTATCCTATAAAACACTGTAACATCTCCAAGTTATATTGACAAACGAAGTTACAGACTTTATTGATCAATTTTAATTTTCAGATTTTTGACAATTGATGTCACATGAACGTGGACGTGGCCTCTGGCTTAAAGATAAAACGCTAAAAATAAACGTTTGAACACTATTCTACATGTACTTGTATATAAAAAGTTATAATAGTCAAACTTTCAAAGTTTCTTTTACTCAGCTGATATGATATTTGCTATAAAATATTCAGAGAACAAACTGCTATGTAGAGGACCTCACATGAGTTGATATGCCATACATAATATTATGAGATTATTACACATTGTTAAGTACAATTAAATTCTGTTCCAGACGACTAATTAATAATAGGCGCTAACCTAGTCTAGGTTTCGCAGCTGCATGCGATTCCAAAATTAATAGGGAAAACATATTCAATTAAGGAAAAAAAACATCATCAGCGTTGTCTTGTATCAAAAGTTACTTTGAGTACAATATGAATTTGATATGAAATTTTGGACACATAAAACGAAAATGAGACTATATGGAGTACAAAATGTATTTGATACGCATCATTTTTACCCAGGAAATAAAAATGTTATTAAATGAATAAGATTGAATCCAATAATGATTTATATTGTAAGATCACGTGATGCATATTGTGGAAAATAACAAGAATAAAGATCAACAAGGCAAAGGCAACGTTCACAGGACGCCGCCCCCGGACACACCCAAGCAGGACAAGTTCATTGATTACGTTTTTAAGGATCTAGTGTAAAAATAATAAAAAACAACAAGAAAGGGTTTTAGCACATGAAAAACAAGCGACGTTATGTGATAAAAAAGGCATGTATATACAACACGAGCCGCTATTACAATTAAGTTACTGTTTATTCAAAACTGTACAATCGGTAATTCTAGTAGGCAACAAATTACAATTTGTGAAATATATAATTTGAATTTAGCAGTAGTACCTTACAAAGCAGGACAACACTGTACCATTTGTGAGTTGTTCCTTATAGGTGTTGCTCTAGAGACATTAAATCAATCATTCTATCTATGTTTTTGTATCCCACCACATCCCCTGCCTATTTCTATACTTACACACATCTTCCCATTGAAAAATAGATTGTGGAAACAATATTTCAGCTTATCTCCTGAATTTTTTTCATAGGGACTGCAAATTTTCAACGAGGGGTAACATAATTCCAGAAAAAAGGTTTTAATATATCAAGCCTCCCGGGCAAGAGTAAAACATTTTGCAGATTTCCTGTAGTTTTTACGTGACAAAATACGTAATTTTATATCTAAATCTATGAGGGATTCCACAGAAAACCAAACTGATTTCGTGTTCACTAAGATTTAAGGATCTGGATCAAGAACAGGATTAAATTTAAAAACTCAAATATTCTTCATTTTTATCTTCAAAGATTAATTATTTAATAGTAATTTAAATTGATCCTTATTTTGATCCAATTATTTTTGTATTTGTTTTGTTATTTGTCAATTTTATCCCAAAATAGGCTTGTTTCTTTGCAAATCAGCAATGTTTCACATTTTGTTTGTATACCATTTAATTCTAGCAAAATACGATCAAATTTAAATTTATAAAACCATGACAATAAAATCAGGATCATTTGATCCTGATCTTTTCTTAGTGAACACGGCTCCGGGGATGGGTTATATTATTATTTGGTGGGGGAGGGGAAGTTGGAGAGGGACATAATATCGTAACCCCCGTTCTTGATTCGCACATAATATTGCTTCAATATTACGGAATGCCGTTAGGGCCATCGCCTATGAATGTGTTGATCTAAAACGCGATAGTCGATAGTACGATGGTGAAAACGCGAAATCACGAAACTACGATGGTGAAAACGCGAAAGCACGATGATGAAAACGCGATAGTACGATGATGAAAACGCGACAGTACGATACTACGATGATGAAAGCGCGATAAACTATCGTGTTTTCACCATCGTACTGTCGCGTTTTCACCATCGTAGTTTCGTGATTTCGCGTTTTCATCATCGTACTGTCGAGTATTGCGTTTCAGATCAAACCATTCATAGGCGATGGCCCTAACGGCATTCCGGAATGCCGTTAGGGCCATCGCCTATAAATGTGTGTTTCTGAAACGCGATAGTCGATAGTACGATGGTGAAAACACGAAATCACGAAACTACGATGGTGAAAACGCGATAGTACGATGATGAAAACGCGATAGTACGATGATGAAAACGCGATAGTACGATGATGAAAACACGACAGTACGATGGTGAAAACGCGATAGTACGATGATGAAAACACGACAGTACGATGATGAAAACGCGATAGTACGATGGTGAAAACGCGATAGTACGATGATGAAAACACGACAGTACGATGATGAAAACGCGAAATCACGAAACTACGATGATGAAAACGCGAAATCACGAAACTACGATGGTAAAAACGCGACAGTACGATGGTGAAAACACGAAAGTTTATCGCATTTTCATCATCGTAGTATCGTACTGTCGCGTTTTCATCATCGTACTATCGCGTTTTCATCATCGTAATTTCGCGTTTTCACCATCGTAGTTTCGTGATTTCGCGTTTTCACCATCGTACTATCGACTATCGCGTTTCAGATCAACACATTCATAGGCGATGGCCCTAACGGCATTCCGTACAATATTGGGTTTAACTGTGTCAAAGTTGAAGTATTTAAGGTAGTGCTTAAAATCACCGCTTTATTATTAAATGACGAATTCAAACCGAAAATAGACGTCTTATTTTCCGAAAACATGATATTGGTCAGAGTTAAAACGCCGCCCACACATGTAAAAACTGATATATAAGAAGTTAAACTTATTTATTGTTTAACCTTATGTAATTGATTCTATAAATTATATATCATATTATATCATATTATATTATATTGTATTAAAAGTAAACTGGATATTAACTATACTTTGATATAAATTTACGTGAAAATCAGTAATTTCAAGGACATGGTACGGTAGCGTTATCAATTATCCAGGAGAGAAGGGTATGTAGTGAACAAATATATTTAGCTAATATAACAATTAGTCTTTTAATTTTTATAATTTTTTACCATTGTTTATCCAAACTAATATGCTATATTCTCGCTTTTTATATAATGATGTCATTTGCAATGAAATATACGATTACGTTTTGCATGTGCTCAACAAAGTGAATACATATACTTTAACCATCAGTTTTTACAAGATCGGTTCTCAGTCAGGGACAATTAGAGTTTAAAATCACTATTGATATCACGCAAGTTTCAGGTCAGACTATATCCTGCGACCTCGACTATTTTTTTTTTTCAAATAAATTGAACATACACTGCCGGAGACAGCCAGTCAGTATTTGTAAATGACTAGCAACCATTTCACAATCTGATGCATAATAAGCATCGGAGGGTCTGAACGTTTGTCAGATTGACCACATGTTCGTCGCTTTGATTGATCACTATCCCACCCCCACTAAAACCCCAACCTTTCCCAAACAACCTAAACTGCAGTGCTCTCCATGTAACATACGTTTCAATAGTACACAATTGTGTATATATAATTGCCATCACATTTCTTTCATTCATAAAAAGATACATATATATTTACTGAAAGAAATGCTATCTCAGTCATATATGTAATATTTTAACGCATGTCACATGGAAAAAACACATTGCAGTTTAGATTTTTTTGGAAAGGTTGGATGGGAGTTAGGTGTGATACCAATTAACGCACCGATCACCAGTGCTTTAACACATGGGCTGATGTTTCATCAATCATAAGCACGTCTTTATAAAGCTTAAATGTATTATCAATGTATTTAATTGTAAAATATAACGTAGAGCTACTCATCCATTTTAATAAGCAATTTTGATAGTGTCATTCTTATTTTAATTCTAAATTGAATATTTATTTGTTATTTTACATGGTTTAAAGCTGCATTCCTCCAGATGAGCCAAAATAAGACAAGAAAATTAAACTTGAGAAAATGTATAATAATCTTAAGAAAAGTAAACATATTAACGATTCGAGTAATGATTTACATGTTATGTGCCATTAAGGGCTGATTTTGCAGTAGGGGATATTTTGCTTATTTTGACCTCTTTTTGTAATTAACATGGATTGTAAATGCTGTTTGCAATGTGAAAATTGTTTTCTTTGATCATGGCACAATATTTTACTTTTAAATACATTTTAAATTTTTCATGAAAATGAGCATGAATCTGGAGGCGTGTTGCTTTAAAGGCGACTTTTGCAATATGTAAATTACTTTTTTGTCCACTTGAAAATATCGTTCTTTATACATTTTCATGAAAATTACCATGAATATGATTTTAACACTTTATTCTATACAGTGTACTAAATTTGTCAGGTTAACGTTTGCACCATATTACTATTTTGCATGTTTAATATTTTCCATGAAAAAGAAATCTGATATACAAATGTAAATGTATTTTTTGCGTCTTTTAATTTTACCTTTTGTAAAAGCATCATGCGTTCAGATTAAAAAAAAAACAGCTGAATATTAAATGTCAATGTACATGTTATATCTAAATAATTCCTTTGAAAAATTGCAACTTTATTTGTGAGAAAAAAATCAAATCCTTTTGTTACAAAGGAATCATGTACTTTGTACTGTTAGTTAACATTGATCGCTTATCGAGCTAAGCACATCAATTAAATCAATTAAAACAATGATTAATTATATCTTTATTGAATCGTGTACCCTAGAGCTACCTCTTTTGGAGTATTTTAATTATAGTATTTGAATAAAGTTTAGTTAAAAATTTAAGCATTCAATCAAGTAGAAAACATAAAAAATGAAATACAATGTATTAAGAAATGTGTAATTATGAAGGAAGATTTTTATATATAAAGCAAGTGATTTAAACTATATTGATGCACGTTATTTATAGGTTTTGTGCGTTATCAACATGCCTAAGGTTAAGAGTAAAGAGATAAATGACAAAACTAACGACAATAGTCAAAGTGGTTTCGCCACAGGAGCAGAACATCTAGGACAACCGGTCGCGCCTGGTACTGATGTTGACAATGCATCTAACCGCAAAATCGGGAGGGTCGCTTTTCCAAAGAGATCTATGGTTGTTTCCATGGCTAAGAATAGCAATCAAAGATACATTACAAATCCGTGTCCAGGCTCTGAAATACCTCCTGAGAGTCTTAATGGTAAGAATTACGAAGTTGCCAACCAGATTGGAACAGTGGATTCATTCTCCGATGATACTACACCAATTGGTCATAGAAAAGGAGAGGCTGTCGTATGTAAAGACAGTAACATCAGCCATGTTCCGGCCACAGATGTAAAGCGTTACGTTGATAATCCTCAAAATCGGCGTCTAGGACGGGTCGGAGAACCAGTTGGTACCGTTGTATATTCATCGAAGAATAAATGTGTTATGCAGAAAAACTACGGTAATAGCAGTTTGAATATAAAGCAAGGTCGAGCAGGTAAACCACTTGGAAGCTTACCTATACAGAAAAAGAAGAGCAAAACCACGGCCAAAATCCCCGAAATGCTGAAAAGAATTGAGGACAAAGATGAGGTAAAAACAACAATATATCGGCATTTCTGTTTTCTGCAATGTTTGATCACACAATGAATCAGTTGTTTATTTGAAGCAGTCCTTTAGTATTATGTCCTTTTCATAATCAGGTGAAAGTGTGGAGTGGTCTGGTAAATAGAAAAAAAAACATGTCAAAGTTGATAAGCCCCTATTGCAATTTTTCAGCCACCTTTCTGTTAGATGTACAGCCCTGGTATAGATTTTTTGGTTCTTTTCAATTATGCATTAATGACATTTATGAGGATACTATTTCAAAGCGAGCCTCCTGCGTCTGCTTCATACATCGTTCCTTCATAAAATTTTCAAAAAGTTTAAAATGAATGTCGAATTTCATTTAGAGAAATATACATGTATATGTAACAAGAATATAACTGATAGCCCTAAATCAAGAATTGCGTCATATGAAGGAAGATTCGTGTGAATAAGGACAATTTTCCTGTTGTTTTTTTTTTTTTTTTCATTTTTTTAACATCTTATTTTGTCTTTTTGTACAAGTTAATAATTTCAGTTATTCAATATACATCTTGACGAATGCTGCTGAAACACCGATTTGTTATCTAAAATTAAGAACAAACCACACTGTGTGATAAGATACTTTAGTATGCAAAACTGTATTCGTATACGTATTTGTGTGCATTTATTATATCCGTATAAGCATTTGTGTACAACACATCTATCATTATTAGCATTTATGTGCAAAACTGTATCCGTATTTACAAATTATGTGCTAACATTTTCCGTTTATACAGATTTGTGTGCAAAACTTAATCCGTACTTGCAATTTTGTGCAAAACAATTTCCATATACACGGACACGCATTTGCGTGCAAAATTATATGAATTGATACACACAAACTGATCTGCTATATCGCATGAAAGTAAATATGTTGAGATTTATAGAAAACGTCATAAAATTAAGAAAAGAATCAAACCAAAGAATAAAAACGAAGTTACCCTTCATGCAGCAAAATCATTGTATATATTGTTTTTTTCTTTCGGCGAATAGCGTATTTGATAGTAGATCGAGATGCAGTTTTTAAGTTATTATAAATACGTGTTTGTTACAATATATATATTTTGAAGTTGATCATTTTTAATGAATTTTTACTACCTTTTGTCACGGGCCAAAACGCGTTGGAAAAAAATGTCCAACACGTAACGTCCAATAACTGTCATTAGATTATATCATATGATTGGTCTAGATATCGTGAAGAACAAAAACAAAAACTCGAATTGGGGGTTTTCAAACATATTGCTGATTCTTACAAAACTAGACGGACTAATTAATCGTTGAATTTATTTCCTCGCATACTTCGTGGCTACTGTACAAGATCGAAAAAAAGATGGATAAATTCAACGCTTCGTAGCATTTTGATTAATCTACTCACCATTTTAATTTTTAAATACCCCATAGATACGATGTGTGATGGATAAGTGGTATGAAATAATAACTTTGTGAATTTAGACAGTTAATTATTGCCCTATCCCACGAAAATGTGAATAAGAGGACGCAACAAACTAGCAAAAATCGGCAACCACTGATACAAATACGACACGCGTTGCTGTTATGGCGTGAATTCCATTTTTTTATAAATGCTAACGACACTTGGTTGTCTGCACGTGTTTAGCGTTTGAATTAAAAGATAGATACGTAAATATTTTGCGATATATAGGACTAACATAGCGTGTGAAAATTAATAAGATGACACGCCTGTGTAAAATGGTATTGACATGGATACCCATCATCATACCTGTGTCTTTCAGTAGTCCCTGTCTGATGAGATTAATAGGTTTGTGTGGATGAGATTTAGATTAAAATATAAATAAAAAAAAACATTTATTTCGTATGTTGATATTTATTTTCAGTTTTCGGATTATAGATTTGAGGATAGGGGATCCATCAGTTGTGATATGGGGTTGACATTGCTTGACTCGCAAGGTGACAGGGTTGAAGCATATGATCAAGCGATGTATATGCACAACCGACTTCAGGAAGAAATTTCGTGGGAGCAGAGCGGCCCGACAAAAGCTCCTCCAAAGACTCAATTGGATATTTTGAAACATTATAAAGGTAAAATGATCCCATACGACGAGCTTAAACTCCGTAAGGTTATTGGAAGTGGTTGTTGCGCCCGAGTTTATTTCGCTAAATGGCAAGAAACGGTGGTAGCAGTCAAGGAGCTTCAAAACGAGAAAATCTCGGAGTCGAGAATTAAAGACTTTTCCGTAGAAGTTCTGAAGTTTTGTAAGCTTGACCATCCTAACATTGTGAAATTTATAGGAGCTTGTATAGAGAAACCGAATCTCTGTATCGTGATGGAATACATGCAGATGACCCTTTACGACGCCTTGCATGTAAAAGATGACACCATCAACTTCAGCGAAGCTGAACAGATCGATATAATTAATCAGACGAGCGCAGGATTGGAATACCTACACACCAAAAGAATCGCACACTGCGATCTTAAAACACAAAATATCTTAATGGATTATGTTCAAGATGAAATTTGTGAAGTTAAAATTACAGATTTGGGTCTAAGCATGATTATTCACGACACAACAGTGTGGGAAGAAGAACTGGTGCGTAATATTGGCACGCCGCAATATTCACCGCCAGAAATGCTCCGTGGAGAGGTACTCTCCGCTAAAGATATGATGAAGGCAGACGTGTATTCATTGGCTTTTGTGCTCCTGGAGGTAATTTTCAAAGATGAACCGTTTCCCGATTATACGTATCAACAGCTGAAGAACGAAGTAGGCATAGCGGGAAATGTGCCGGAAGTCCCATCATTTCCAGATATCGATGAAAGTATTAAGGACATCATGAATCAAGCCTGGAGTTTTGAACCACGGAAAAGGCCCACTGTATCACAAATTTGTGAGACTGTTCTGAATTGTCAGACAATATACAAAGACTTAAAAGATTAATTCCTGTAAAATACAAAGATCTCAAAAGTAATCCCCTTTATCATCAACAATACGGATTACTTCATGCATACATTTTAGTATCGTGTCAATTTCTGGATGGCATTTTTGTAGTCTGGAATGGAAACGAAATTCTTATTTTTTTTTAAATACGAATGTAGAGTTTGCTGTTTTTAAGTGGATAAATTAGCTACTTAATTGCGAGAAAAAAATACTTTTCAGTTCTATGACTTTTAGGACCATATTTATCTCATTCAGTAATGAATATCCAAGTTAACCAACTGTATTTTGCAGATATTTCTAAAGCAAAAGAACAGCGTGAGATAACAGCGTGTATCAGAGTAGAAAGAAATGCAGTTTATATGTAGCTGACAATATTGAACGATTAGTAGAATCAATTCGAAGGTTATCAAAATTATCAGAGTTTTATGGAAAAGTGTAGGAATATTTATTATTGTTTTTTTAGCAGTACTTAACAGATCCACTGGCTAGCTAATTCCGCCACATGAAACAGTTCAACATGCCTTGTCATTGCTGTTATGCTGCAACCTAATATTCCTTACTAATATATTCTTCCTCCGATGTGTTTGACTTGAGAATTAAGCATACATCGACCGCGTCTGTGGCAGTGGATCATGTTGATTTTAATGAGCTTTATTCTATGCATTTACAGGGTAAGGCATTATTAATTTGTAACGATAAAGTTAATAGTAATTGTTTTTTTTGTGATTATTGTTTTGCATTGATTTTAATACTTTTATCTGGCAAACACCTCTATTTTTACAAAGCATTTTTAAGAATGCATGTGTTCGTGCTTATTTTTTATTTGTCTAGACCAAACGTGTGTACCTTTTTCATGAAACGAAACATAATGCTAAACGTATTTGGATTTTTCTTAATTTCATGGAATTAAAAACAAGCCAAGGTAACAAGAGTGCCATTCTGTCCCTTATATCACTCACCTTATAAAACTTGCTTATACCTCGCAGATAAAGGTAGGGGCTACAACACAGTCACGTTGCGTAATGTTATCACCATGATGTAAGAAGGAGACTTATTATTTTGTTATGCAGGTTCTTTGCAAGTTTAATTTGAACAAAGAAAGAAGAAGCTGCTACCTGGTACAAAAAATTACTGGGGCAAATAATTATTCTACTTTTTGTCCCAGCTCTACTATCTAATATTAACACTCAGGCAAACAAATTGTGAACATTGGCGTACTTTCTATATGAAAAGCTAATCTGAGCATTGCATGCTTATGTGAGCTTATATAAAAGGCACACACCAATACTCTAAGGGTTATATAATGAGATTTTTCAACTTTATTGGTGCAGGAAGACGTCGCGTCCCCTTCTGCGTTATATCAGGCAGGGTACGTAGAGCGAGCACCCGCGAAATATATACAACACTTGCAATTTTCCTTTAATTCAATATCATCTGTAAAATGCATAAAGAAATTTTAAATAAAACTAAAGGAATTATTTTTCTTATCTGAAAATGCGCATGAAAAAATAAAAACGTCGACTTACAGAGGGTTAATGAATCCTTTTCGTACATTACGATGGATGATAAAAAATAAAACGGACTGGGGCTGTCAATATGAAACTTTTCAACCTATCACTTATTAGTCGGCGGTAGAAACCGGCGACTATATTTGTAACAGTTTAATATTATACCTATGGTAGGAGAAGCCCTTAAAATCTGAAAAGAAAAGCATATCAATCATTGAACCATTAAAGACCACAATTATTTTTCAGTAATTTCAAAAATTCAAACATATGATAACGCTGCTCAATGAAATGAAATAAATGTATAAACATATTGACATCTTAAAAAGCAACATAACCATTTTCATAAAATGAATCAATAATGTATCCCTAAGGATCAGTCATTGAATATTAGGGATACTTTTACTTTTTCTATGTGTCAAGCATTGCTATTTTACGATATATAAATCATGAATGATATTTGAAATGACACTTTTAAATTATTTGGTTGTTTATATTTTATGAGACCTATTATATTTCATTATTTCATCTAATTATGAACAAATTCTCCCTGTTCTGTTGTAAGAATCACGTGACTTCATGTTGTATGGTATCGTTATAAAATCTATTAATAGTAACAGATTGCTGATAAGACATACAGGTAACCTGTTATTAATGGTTGGCAAAAGGCATGTCAGCTGATAAGAGGCAAATCATTGTAATTTTGTATAGATAATTACATAAGTTATTTTCATTATTCAGTTTAATATTTTATATCATTAGAAAAACCTGTATACTCATATTTTACACATTAAAAATAAATTTTCAAAACCTTTTCCTTTTTTCTTGGTAAAGGGTTAAACTTGGCCCTTTCTGACAGACTTTTGACAAGAAAGTTCAATAGTTTAGTTGAGGTTGAACATCACAAAATAATTTTATGCTTAAGAGGCACATTATTGAAATATATAATGGTAATCGTTGATTTCGTTATATTCCGTCGGTTTCCGTCGCGAAGGTTTCCAAAACGGTATGACGGTAGGGGTCCGGAATCGTATTAATTAGATACATAGAAAAAAAAATAAACTATCTTTGTGTTGATAGTTTATCGCATTTAAAGGCAATTAAACGTTAATTATATCGTATGTAACGATGGGAATACATGTATTGATTTCAATTAAATTGTATTTTTTTCGATAGCGAATAATAATGATGTACAACACTTTTACAGTAGAATTGCATTGTTTCATGCAATTATTAAACATATATTGCAAATATTCGATGATCGGTAATTATTTGTCGGTAATTATCGGAATCTGAACTAGTAACTCATACGGATTTCAATGTATGGTACAACAGTATATGTATAAAAAGAATCACCAGCAAATCACTTGCCTTACAAGCCTCAGTGGCAAACATTACAGTAACTCAACTTATTGTTTCTCTTATTTTTATACTTGAACCATTTAACTGATATTTTCTTATATTTATGATATACAATCATTTTTCTATCCGGCGACTTGATGCTTTAGCATCAAAATCTCTACTTTGTTGTTATATATCCCACTTAATCGGAAAGCAACACCTATAACCTGATACTTTATCTAATCTGATAACGCGAAATGTGCTGATGCGATATGTCTTTTGACAGCTCGACGTGCAAGGTCGCGTTAATCTTTCTGTTAATTAATACACGTTTTCTTCTCTATTAATGCAAACAGGCATCCGCGTAAATAATGCAAAAATGGGCAGTACAATATGAAATGGAATTAAGTGACGGGATTGGAATTATGAAGTCTTCGCAGGGTTTTACATCTCTTTGAAATTTTAGGGGTCCAGTGGATGCACAGCCTAGAAAAGTAGGGGTCCAGGCCTGAATTTTAGGGGTCCAAAATTATATTCACTATAAAAGACTATGAAGACCACTCTATTTTGCTTAAAATCGTTTATTTACCCTGTAAGAAATATGCATGTATATTGTACTGTTTTCATAAGAAGTATATGATTTCAATGTCTTTTATCACTAGGTTTTTTTTATAGCATTTTAGTAGCCCTTTACAATAATATCATGTGCTATTTCCAAGGCTTATAAGTCTTTGAGTGGCTGGAATGTCAAGTTTTAGTAGCATATTTTGTTATTGACAAGGTGATTACACCAACAGACTGAAAATTTGTACTGATCTATTTGTAAATATTTTAGCTGAACAAGTAAACACACAATAGATATCTTTACAGACCAGTCAGCTAAATATGTTGCGTTTTTAAAAATATCATAAAACAAAAGGCTGACAAAACCGCTTTTGCACCTCCTCATAAGCTGGGACATACTTGATGTCCAAGTCATAAATTAAGTTCGCCGAAACCATTATATTTATAACACCAAAGATAATAACATACCCAGTGACTTAATTTCTAACACTTTTTCATATAAAACTTTGCAAAAAGCACTGCATTTTTTATTATCGCTGTTCATGTACAAAATACAATCGCCGAACTGGTAGATCGACATTGGATACGCTAACCAATAGTAATTGCTTGTTATAAATAGTCTGTCTAAATATAGCAATAGAAAAACCAAAAACAGCTACCAAAAATAGATTTTACGGTAAACGTCATCAGTTACTGTAGCTTGCACGATAAATGTCATCAATTTCTGCAGCGGGCACTTGCAAATAGCATGCGCAGTAGATTTCAATTTTGTTAACTTCCGAATAAACAATGCAAGCATTAGGTTTAAATGGAATTTTATGAGCTTCGAGAAGAAAGAGATAAAATCGTGTCGGGTCAGAAACAATAATATCTATTGGCTAGAATTATTTTTGTGCGTACACTTGGACGCAAGTGGATAACTTATATGCGTACATGTCAAAATTTATGCGTATAGGGACGCAGAATTCTGCGTCCCGTAAAACCCTGCTGACTTCGCGACAACTACAAAATTCAAATAGAAATCCATGTATTATAAATGCGCTCATCAATAGAAAAGTTTGACTGAAAGATACGAAATGCCTCAATCAGGAATATCGTTCTGAACGATCTTCGGATGGGGTGAGTGTGAAAAGTTTATATAAAGTATAGCGCAAGCAACGCTGACAGGCACGGATCTAACGCCGGGACATTTTAAACATACCTCTCGACCAAAATTGGAACCGGCCATGGCTTATGGGATGTTAGTGGGAAAATAGCACCTCAGTCATTAATTTGTGAGTCTGTACTTGTCACAGTTTAGTATATATCAAGCGGAGTAAATGAAATAAATATTTTTTTATAAAATCAGAGACTTTTATTAGGGCCTACATATAACTCTGTGAAGTAATAAAAAACTGATTAACATCTATTATTGTTACTTACACTGAAAAAAGTTTTGTTAAATGAAATAACGTAGGCTATATAAATTTGTTTCATCTTATAAAGTGATGGCTTACTGTATGAATTTAACATTATTGTGACATGCATTAGGCCTATAGGGCCTAATTGATAATCAAAGCGCACGTTAGTTTATACAAATTTTTTATAAATAACTATATAAACTTACTTGGATAGAGTATGGGTGATACAGTGCAATTCCCAAAGACTGGTAAACCTTTTGCTACATAAATGAGATGGGACATTCTGATGATGATAATATAACATCTATATGAAATAAAGAAAACAGACGACGAGCTTACCAACGGATGAGCTAAACAGTTACGAGTTCACTATAGAACGAGTTTGCTCAAAATTTATGAGTTACTTCCCTTTTTTAATAAGACACATTTGTCCGGGGAGAAAGATGTGGAAGACACGTCAGCTTGAAGTAAGATAATTAATTGTCTAAATTATTGATAATCATTTTTAATGTACATTTATTTAAGGAGAATATTTGATTATCCTGATTAACAACAATCTGGAGCAATTGTCATTTCATTATTTGCCAATAAATAATGCCCTTGAATCCATTATCCGAATTATTTAAACAGAAATGTTATGAATAATCAATAAATGACTGAATTAACTTCATATCAAGATAAAACATTCTTTAGGATAAGATCTTCATGTATCTCATACTCATATTGACCATGACTCATTTGACCTTGTCCTTGTAGGTTAAATTGTTGAAATTTCATTAATTTTTGCTATAATTAGTGACTTCACGGATTTATGCCACAGGAGCTTGAAATTCTATCAATTATCGCTCTAAAGTCGGATTAAAAAAATTCCATAACTGTATCTTTTTTTATGTAGATGACTGGTGTGGATTTTTTTCTAATCAGACTTTAGAGCAATTATTGATAGAATTTCAAGCTTGGTAATGAATCAATGGATTATCTTCATACATGGACAAAATAACCTTTTGGATAAGACACATTTTAAATCATATTATCAAGAAAAAATACCCAAAAAAAGCAACAACTTTGAAAAATATTGGTCCTATCCGGTATCTTCTTTCTGTCGCGGATTGACCTTTTCAAAAACCTAGCTAAACACCGTTTTCCGGTACGTTAAGGATTAAGCTCTGGGGAAGGATTTCAGGACTTTACACCTCCTGGACGTTTCGGCTTTGGTCTTTACACCTCCTGGACGTTTCGGCCTTGGTCTTTACACCTCCTAGACGTTTCGGCTACTTTCTTATGCCCCCGGGCATATAGTAATTGAACCATCCGTCCGTCTGTCGAAACAAACCAGAGCTACATTACTGGTTTGGGAGATAAACTCGGTTGAAAATCAGTGTTTTGGGGGCATATTTCATTTATTTGTTTATGTATTCTGATGAATCTTGCACCATAATAAACTTCAGCTCTTCGATTTTCCGGTATCACCATAAAAGTTATATTTAGAAACATAACGGGTAATTTTGAGAGGCCCTGGAAGAGGTACGTAAAAAGGATATTTTTAATGCACGCGAGTAGATAATTCCGGCTCTTTGTTTTTCTTCTTAAATGAGTAAGTTAAAACGTAAAATAACATGTTTAGACATTTTATTATTTCTTTGCTGTTCATTTATGTCAAGTAAAAAAATATTTGTTACCAAAATTGTTGAGCATGACGTTAGTATAATGAATATCTATGATAACACGATATTTATATGCAACGTACTATGTAACATATAAATCATTTTTACTTAAAAACACATGCATTATCATTTATTAACGTATAACGAAATATCAAATATGTAGTTAGAGAATTAGTGATTCAAATTCATTTTTGCTTAGCTTAACAGAGTGAAGAAGAAATTTATTTAGTGGTATTCAACCAACACATTAACATATAAAAGGAGCATTTAACATCAGTCTTTCAATGCTCGCCCATATGGTCTCTTTCCGGTGGCGAGGGTAAACAAACGCAAACACACACACAGTCTTTCAATCCATTCCACTAAAGATTACAATTGTGTAATCAGCCTTTTTTCTGAGTTAGCAAGACAAAAGTGAGTCTGAATTTCATCTACAATTTGTATACGTAAACGTCGTCTGCTTTATCGGTAGTCGGTCAATATATAAAAGTACCCCTGTGCGGGCCTCAAAATGAGCATCTGCTGCACATGCGCACAACAATGGGATTCCCGTACTTTTTATAGGCATGTTTTGTAAACAAACAGGTAAAAGTCTGTGTTATTTTTTAAATATCTTACCAAACTTGACAAAATTTCCAGATATTGTTGAATTCCAGCAATAGTATGAGATGGTGAGCTTGATAAGATTAAAATTTCCGATAACTCAATTTAATTATAAAAAGCTGAGTTTATCAACCAGCCAAAGTTATCTCCCCAACCAGTATGGGGTTTGGTCTATTGTTCTCATAACAATAGATGTCTTTGATGTCATTCATTCCGTTTCTCTTGTGGGGTTATTTTCTGCATTGGGGGGTTAAAAAGAACAAAAGAAATAACAAAAGAAAACCCCATAATGTAGCTCTGGTAAGAACGTCCGTCCGTCTGTCCGTACGAGGTTAACCTAGAACGGCAAGTTGGATTTTTCTTAAGTTCTACCTGTACCAATGGCTTCTTAGTTTACACACTTACTAATCAATACAAAGTACATGATCTGGTCAAGTTACATAACTATGGCTTCCATATTTACCAAGTTATTGCCCTTTTCAGCACTTAGAAAATGAATAATGGTTAACCTAAAACGGCAAGTTGGAAATATCTAAAGTTCTATCTATACTTATAGCTTCATAATTTACACACTTACTTACCAATACAAAGTACATGATATTGCCAAGTTATATAACTGTGTCATCCATATTTCCCAGTTATTTCCCTTTTTTCACTTTGAAAATAGGGCCTTGTCTGGTTAACCTATTACGGCAAGTTGGATTTATCCTAATTTCTCCTAATTGCTTAATTTCTTTTAATGATATCTTTCATATTAAGTAGGTGGATACCTTTGATGGTCCTCTAATTTCTTGTGGAGTAAGCGGTCTCTAGGGTCAAGGTCAAGGTCACTGGTTTAAAAAATAAATATAAACATTTTTGCTCATACAGCCTTTATTTTTTAGTTGATGTCTTAGTTTAATACAAACATGCCAAGGGAGGTCCTCCTTCTTTGGGTGTAGTAAGGGGTCATTTGGGTCAAGGTCAATGTTACCAATGTCAAGGTCACCTATTTTAAAAATAGATTTTTACATTTTTACAGGTGACCTTATTCTATAGACAGATGTTATTTATAATTGATAGAAACATAAACTTTGATGGAGTAAGTGGTCAGTTAGGTCAAGGTCACCAGTGTTAGAAATAGATTTTTACACATTTGCTCATACAGCCTTTATTAAGTGACAGATATATTTTATATTTGGCAGGAAGATAACTTGCATGGTATTCATCCTGTTGATTGGGGTAGGGATCAGTGGGTCAAGGTCACATGTGCTAAAAATAGATTTTTACACTTTTGCCCATACAGCTTTTATTTATTGACAGATGTATTTCATATTAGGTAGGAATATAACTTGCATGGTATTCTTCCTTTGGATTTAGTAAGGGGTCAGTTGGGTCAAGGTCACCAGTGCTAAAAATAGAATTTTACACTTTTGCCCATACAGCCTTTATTTATTGACAGATGTATTTCATATTTGGTAGGAAGATAACTTACATGGCATTCTTCTTTTGGAAGAGTTAGGGGTCAGTTTGGTCAAGGTCACCAGTGCTCAAAATAGATTTTACACTTTTGCCCATACAGCCTTTATTTAATGACAGATGTATTTCATATTTGGTAGGAAGATAACTTGCATGAAGTTGAATATTTTTCAACTTCACAAGTCATAGCAATGACTTGGCAACTTATATTTTTCACAATTACAAAATGCCATGACTTTGTCAAGCTATATAACTTGTGTTTACAATTTTTTGGCAATTTTTCTGTCCATAACTGGTAAACATTTTTTGAAATATTGCTACTGACAAGAATCTGAGCCGGGGGCATTTGTGTTTAACAAACACGTTCTTGTTTAGTATTTCTTTTAATGTTAAAGAAATAATACAATTCCGTGAAATTATCAGTCAGCCCTCTTACAGCGATAAAATTAGACAAAAATGCACAGCAAACATTCTTTTCATTTGGGATTGCTTTACTAACCTTCCAAGTTATTAATATAGACAAAAAAAAAGCTTAAGAGGCTAAAAAAGTTCTTTTCTGAAACTACAATACTCAGAGTTAAGATATTTTGTATTGAGTTACAGTATAACGTTGTTGTACTCTATAATAATTATTTAAACCCACTTTTCCACAGGTCAAAATAGGCTTATCCTGGATGTCACTTAGTTTATATAGACTTATATTGGATCACCCACTATGTTTTTATCTTCAATCTATTTACCTTTGTCTTGTGAATTTCAATTTTTGTATAACATGTGTACTCATTTATATTGTTAACCCTGCCATCATTGTATATTTCAGTTTTCTAAGGGTAAGATAGCTAGTGAAGATAACATATTTCACAGGCTATGTCCAAAAAGACAAGATCTTGAACCACATTAACAAAAGTTGTCAGATGGACAAACTATATTTGTATGTATTCAGACAAATTGAATGTGTCGCTACTAACGATAAAAGTCATATTTCTGAATAATGATCATCAACAAGCATAGACATGTGCCAAGACATTGGGTAAATCATAAAAGTGTGTGAAAAATGAAATTAAAATTTACCCATATAACATGTTGATACATGTCATACCCAATAAGACAGTATCTGTTGCTGTAGATGAAAAGTTATTGATCAAACAAAAACACAGCTGTTAAGATGAAGTGTTTATTTATTCTTTATTATAAAAACAATGGATAGATTACCTTTTGAAGGTAAAACAGTGAATACTCAAGTGGTCATGATACCTTTTTCCAACAGGAAGGTTGATTTAATAAGACTTAAGTGGACATGATACTTTTGTCAACAGGAAGGAAGATTTGTGAAGTCTTTCATGGTCATGATACTTCTGTGGACAGGGAGGAAGATTTGTGAAGACTTTTATGGTCATGATACTTCTGTGGACAAGAAGGAAGATTTGTGAAGACTTTATGGTCATGATACTTCTGTGGACAGGGAGGAAGATTTGTGAAGACTTTTATGGTCATGATACTTCTGTGGACAAGAAGGAAGATTTGTGAAGACTTTATGGTCATGATACTTCTGTGGACAAGAAGGAAGATTTGTGAAGACTTTTATGGTCATGATACTTCTGTGGACAAGAAGGAAGATTTGTGAAGACTTTTATGGTCATGATACTTCTGTGGACAGGAAGGAAGATTTGTGAAGTCTTTCATGGTCATGATACTTCTGTGGACAGGAAGGAAGATTTGCGAAAACTTATTTGGTTACGATACTACTGTCAACAAGAAGGAAGATTTCTGAAGACTTTAGCGGTCATGATACCTTAGCCACCAGGCAGGAAGATTTCTGTGGACTTTTAATGATCATGAAACATTTATAAACAGGAAACATATCCTTGTCACCAGTCATACAACAGGAATGTTTAAATTATTATCGTTGTAAGGGTAAAGTAGCATTAATTCAATTATCTCTACACTGGCTTGTAACACACCCAAATTAATGTTTCTTTTGTCTTATTTATAATGCTTTTATAAGAAGCTCACTTGAGCATTACATACAAAGGTAAGCTTTTGTGGTTGAGCATCATACATACAATGTACAAGACAGTTAGTTTTTTTTAAATAACTAATTTTTGTTAAAACACTTATTATTGCTAGTAAGTCTTTCTGTTTCCAATTTTTTTACTGTATAATTATCTTTTCATGTCTTATGAATTGTAAGAACAATTAACATATTTAGGAAACTTGGATATTTTTCAACTTCTAACAAACTAGTAAATAACATTTTACTCAACACTTTTTCACAACTGTCAAAACAATAAGCTTGAAACTTGGGAGACTTGGTTACATGGACAAGGTACATTTGTTACAGAAGGGTCATTATTCTTAAAGCTATGTATTTTAAGTAACACCTTTTTTAACCTGGACTTTTTGTCAAAATTGTTTATAAAGTTGAATGATTAGATCATCATGAAGCACTTTAAAATCATGACAAGGCACAATTTTTAAACAAGGGGCATTATTCTGGATGCAATATATTAGAGTTATGCCACTTTTTAACATTTGAGTAGAATGATTTCAAAAGAATGAAATATATTATATAAACATGAATCTTTGAAAACTTGTATTTCATGACAAGGCACAGTTAATAGAAAGATATATTTTTGGAGTTGTGCCCTTTTTTAAATTAGATGTTTTTTGTTGCTTATTATCAGTAGAATTATTTTATACTATCAAAGTATCAACTTGAACTTCAAATACTTGATTATCATGAGAGGGCACAGATGTGAGGCAAGGGACATTATCCTGAAAGCAATACTTTTAGGATTGTAATACTTGTATTGAAAAAATTGGTAATAGATAGCGGTTGCCCTTCACAGACAAGCCTTAACACTGCATGTTGTGCTAGTGTCCTAAGGATAGTCTTTCCTTCATGAAACACCGTTTCTTTTGCCAAATTTGATGTGTTCAAGATATGCAAAGAACAATGTTTGAATGGCAGGCTTCGATGGCCATAATTTTGTTATATATAATTACTACCCCCTGTTTATTAAATCAGAAGCAGAATTTTGAAATTGCTTGAAATTGCTTGAAATTGCATTGTTTGTCCATGTTTGTTAACAACTTTCCAAGGTAGTCATGATAGACAGTTGTTGCAAAGATCTGACTTTAGTTCATCATTTAAAGCGCATCAAAATTAGTCAGGTTGTTCCCTGGAAGTTTTTAGTACCTTTGATTTCACAGTCTGAGTTTCATATGTCTGGTTGTATGAACCAACTATGTCTGGTTGTATGAACCAACATGCTTCTTTTCTTGTCATCAATATAATCTTAATAAACCCTCTTACTTAATATCATTTTAGTTCGACAAACTTAACTGAAACTGACCAGCAACCTTCGTAAGTAGAAAGTTCAGATTTCTCCTTGTGCTCAATCTCTTTTTTTTTTTCAAATGATGATAACGTTTTTATTTTTGCTAATATTTGTGTCATGTAAAGAGTCTCCAGATATTGATGATTTATTTGCCCCAAACTGTAGAACAATGTTTATGGAAGCGCACTTGTAATGAATATCAGCTACTAGTATGGAAAGAACTCACTTGTGCAACTTTAACGTGGAAAAGTTTGTACATAAAAACATACTTTTGAGTAATATGAAATAAAAGATCATACTTGACTTATAATATTAATAAAATACATATTTGTATCCAGCATGAAATTCAGCTTCAATTATTGTCACTAAATCTTATAACATTGTTTTTCTATGCTCACACAAAAACAAACCGAACTTGCTGCCATCAGGTCATACAATAATTAAAAATACAAGAAAGGAAAGTGAAAAGCAACTAACAACAAGAGCAAACAAAAACATAATATAAACAAAATATTGACAATGGTACATAAAGCTTATTGAATATCAAGTGTGCAGCAATACAAGAGAAATACAAGGGAAATACATTGATTTTTCTATATTTAAACTTGCTTAGTTTTGCTGTGAAATAAGATGATCTGTGGTATCATCATCTTAAGCAATTTCCCCAAGACCAAACACATTGCATTCTCTCAACATTCTCATTGACTTATCCACTGCCCCTCAAAATTGCACTTTAGGAGCATGGATGCTTAACCTTCAGGGTAAAAAAATGAGAACAAAGATAACATATGGTGTTTGAGCTATGTTAGTTTTTGGCGGGTAGCTGTCATCACTAAAGACCATGGCAGCTTCTTAGATCATGGCAGCTTCCTCGACCTTAAGAGCATTTGCCAATATTAAAGGTTAATGAGAGTAAAATCATAGATTTCTTTTTGTTCTCCTTGTTGAATGCTGAAAGGAATATATAATTATTAAAACTGATTATAAAAATATATCAAAATATTTCATATTAAATGTTGGATTTATTTCCTGGCCTTGTGTGTACTTAAAGTCTAGTGTCACAGAGATGGTGTGGATATTTCGTCAATCTCCTGACAGCTCTAGTGCAAACAGGTCTTTGATAGTAGGTTATCCACTTTGATGGCTTTATATCATACTATCACACTCCTGTGGACACGGTTTGTTCTATGTTTATTTCCATTAGCTTTGGCATTTTCTTTGGCAATGACAGGAGAAAATTTGTTTTGTTTCATGTTCAGGTGACAGTCTCGCATGATGAATATTTCTATATTTTGATTTTCAAATCCAGTGAACTCAGTGACTTCTCTGAAATATACCAATGAAGTTTGATCATGGTACATTCTGTTTAATTGTTTTGAAACTTGGGACAACTTCTCACGATCATGCTTTGTATATGTTTACATTTGAAGAATCATTTCATCAGGCATATTTAGTATTTGCTTTCCTGTATTAGAAATAAACTATTTAAATCTCAATAGTGAACCATTCTAAAATGGGTCTTTTTCAATATGTATAGAACATATACCAAACAAATCTGCCCTTTGAAAGCATCAAAATTAGATTTTAACATGATAATAATTGACAAAGGCATTAATAAGGCATTTGAATTATAAACATGTGACTCAAAGCATTACTTTGAAAAAGTGGTGTCAGTCACATCATCTGTTCGATTCAATAATCGAGTTTCCTGAAATATCGTCCATAACACCACTGCTCCTAGGCATCTGTAGAAACAGTGATGTGTAGGTGATATATATGGCAATACCTCTTTCATGTCTTTCTTTTCCTTATAGTTTATTGATCTGTTATAACGGTTTATCAGGCGTCTCTCTTAGTCTATTGTTGTATGACCTATACCTGTTGGAATGTTTAGTGTTGGGATGGTCTTCTGAAGGTCAAATGTAATAACACATATTGTCTTGTCACTTTTTACACATGTCCTTGCTGGGTATTTTGAATGAATGTTAATATTTTCCCTCTCTTCAAAATATCTATATTTTGTGCATTCATAACTCCAATGATTTTCCCAGAGTATATACATATTTTTTGAGTAGTCTTTATTGATTGTATTTGTTCTACTTGCTAACAGATATAATTAGCTACTATAGTGCTCCATTAGTAGTAACACTATACTACAGCAAAGAAATCTCTTATAGATGTATATTCTCTAGAACAGTCACTATGTGTAGGTCGTTTAATGCTGTATTTAAATTAAATACTTTCAGGCATTTGTCTCTTATTTCTTTCTGCACTGTTTACTTTTATCCCTTTTTCAACATTGTTATTCTTTTTCTCAGCTGTCACACGAGCAACATGATAATTCTCATTAGATAGTTCCAACCAAGATACCGCGCTCCTCGCCTCTCCGTATACTTTGCTTCGTAAGTAATAAAATTTTTAAATATCGGAGATATTTTTATTTCTATCACCGTTAAATGAACACATGTGTAACCAGTAGCTAGTAACCGGCAATTTAACTGTCATCGTTCTCTCAGTATTTTTTTCTTTTTTAGACGTTCAAAAAAGGCTTTTTGTAACGTCATTTGTTTCTGTTGTTGTTTTATGATACAACAATACATTTTTAGCTCGACTATACGAAGTATATGGAGAGCTGTCCTACTCGCTCGGCGTCCGCGTCCAGATTTTAGATTAAAGTTTTCGTGCAGTAAAATATTTTTTCACTATAACTTTGTCATTTCTTAAGGTATCAACTTCAAACTTCAAATATATGTTCCTTATCATCAACCACATCTTATGTGACAAGGTTCATAACTCTAGCACCAATATTTTCAGATTTATCTCCCCTTGAACTTAGAATTTTCCTTAAAAATACTTTTTTTTACTGTTCCTTCTTTATTTCTTACAGGATCAATTTCATACTTCAAATATATGTATCTTATCATCATCAACATCTTATGTGACAAGGTTCATAACTCTAGCGCCAATATATTTAGATTTATCTCCCCTAGAACTTAAAATTATCCTTATGAAATATTACTTTTTACTGTTACTTAAGGGATCAACTTCATACTTCAAATATATGTACCTTATCACCATCCTTATCTTATGTGACAAGGTTTTTAACTCTAGCACCAATATTGCAAGAATTATCTCCCCATAAACTTAGATTTTTTTTCTAGAAAAATGTTATTTTTTACTATGACATTTTTAGTTTTAAACGTACATGTATCCACCTCAAACTTCAAATACTTATTCCTTATCATCAATTACATTTTATGTTACAATGTTCATAACTCTTGAAGCAATATATACAGATTTATTATCCCCCGCCGAAAAGGCGGCGGGGGATATAGAAATAGTCTCCGTCCGTCCGACCTTCCGCACTCACAGGAGAGTAATTATGTGGCTAGAGGGACAATAGGTAACTGTTCTTTCTCTTTGATGTCATTCATTCCGTAATGCTTTTATGTGGCTATTTTCTTTTGTGTGGCTAAAAAGAAAAATAGAGAGTACAATAGAGTAGCCACATAATTACTGTCCTGTGAGAACGTCCGTCAGTCCGTCCGACATTTTTGTCCGGAGCATATCTCTAAAAGTATTTGAGTAATCAACTTGAAACTTCATAGGTGGATAGACCTCTTTGAGGAGGAGTGCAGTGCACAAGAATGATAACTCTACCCTGCATAATTTTTGAGTTATTGCCCTTTGTTATTTTTCAAAATTGATTTTTGTCCAGAGCATAACTCAAAAGGCCTTTGAGATATCATTATGAAACTTCATATGTGCATAGATCTAACTCAGGAGGTGTGCAGTGCACAAGAATGATAAATCTACCTTTTATAATTTTAGAGTTATTGCCCTTTGTTATTTTTCATACTTAATTTTTCAATTCAATTTTTTTCTCAAAAAGTATTTGAGGTATCAACTTGAAATTTCATAGGTGGATAGATTTTACTGAGGAGGGAATCAGCACACAAGAATGAGAACCTACCCTGCATTATTTTTCAGTTACTGCCCTTTGTTATTTTTTCACATAGGTTTCAAATTTGTAATCACTATAGCCATCAGTTTTCATTACCAAATTACCTCTTAAAATGGAATTATTCTGCTGTACTACATATACATTCTTCCAATGAGCAAACACATTCGACGGGGGATGGCCATGTTGACATGGCTCTTGTCTCTCATTGAACTTAGGATTTTTCATACAAAATATTATAACTTCTTTACTTTTTAAGGTATCTACTTCAAACTTCAAATATATATTTCTTATCATTACACACATGTTGTGTGACAAGGTTCATAACTCTAGCGAGACTATTTCTAGAATTATTCCTCTTGATCTTGGAATTAATGTTAACAATGTTATTTTTGTGCCCCCACTTTAGTGGCGGGCATTTAGATTTACCCTTGTCCATCCGTCCGTCTGTCCTTCCATCCATCCGTCCGTCCCTTCTCTTTTGTGTCGCACGTAACTCAAAAAGTATTTAACTTAGAGTCATAAAACTTTACAGGAATGTTGATCAGCATGAGTAGTTGTGCACCTGGGTCTTTTCGTCTGGATATTTTTAGTGTTTTTAGCTCGACTATTCGATAAGAATAAGTAGAGCTATTGTAGTCACCCGAGCGTCGGCGTCCGCGTCGGCGTAACCACTTATGTTAAAGTTTTTGTAATAGTTTAAATATTTTCAAAGTCCATTGACATATGGCTTTGAAACTTTGCACACTTGTTCAACATCATTACCCCAACCCGTAAACAGGAGGCGGTAACTGTATCAATCATTTTGACAGAATTATGCCCCTTTTCGACTTAGAATTTACGTTAAAGTTTTTGTAATAGTTCAAATATTTTCAAAGTCCATTGACCTATGGCTTTGAAACTTTGCACACTTGTTCAGCATCATTACCCCAACCCGTAAACAGGAGGAGGTAACTGTATAAATCATTTTGACAGAATTATGCCCCTTTTTTCGACTCAGAATTTACGTTAAAGTTTTTGTAATAGTTCAAATATTTTCAAAGTCCATTGACATATGGCTTTGAAACTTTGCACACTTGTTCACCATCATTACCCCAACCTGTAAACAGGAGGAGGTAACTGTATCAAGCATTTTTTTTTTACAATCAAGCACTAAGAATAGTCGAGCGTTGCTGTCCTACCGACAGCTCTTGTTAGAGTTATTGCCCTTGACTTAGTAAAATTTTGCAATTTTCAACTTGTGTCGCATGTAACTCAAAAATTATTTGACCTAGAGTCATGAAACTTTACAGGAATAGTGATCATCATGTGTAGTTATGCACCTGGGTATTTTCGTCTGGATAGTTTTAGTATTTTTAGAGTAATTGCCCTTGACTTAGTAAAATTTTGCAATTTTCAACTTGTGTCGCATGTAACCCAAAAAGGATTTGACCTAGGGTCATGAAACTTTACAGGAATGTTGATCAGCATGTGTTGTTGAGCACCTGGGTATATTCGTCTGGATTTATTTAGTATTTTTAGAGTTATTGCCCTTGACTTAGTAAAATTTTGTATTTTTCAACTTGTGTCGCATGTAACTCCAAAAGGATTTGACATAGAGTCATGAAACTTTACAGGAATATTGATCAGCATATGTAGTTGTGCACCTGTGTATTTTCGTCTGGATTTATTAAGTATTTTTAGAGTTTTTGCCCTTGACTTAGTAAAATTTTGTAATTTTCAACTTGTGTCGCATGTAACTCAAAAAGGATTTGACTTGTAGGCCTGAAAATTTTCAAGAATGTTGGTCAGCATGTGTACTTATGCTCCTTGGTGTTTGCTTGTGGATTTATTCAGTAATTGTAAAGTTCTTGCTCTTTACTTAGTAAAAGATTTTTAGTTTTCAAAAGATATTTGACCTAGAATCATAAGATTGACAGTACAGTGGCACGGTGGGGGCACCCGTGTCCTATGGACACATTTCTATGGTTTACTATAAATTAAAACATACTTATACATAATTGATTTTTCTTTCATAGTTTTGTCTTACTAACTGTGTCCAGTATTTTATTAGTCGAGCTTCGCTGTCTCCTGTGATAGCTCTTGTTTAGTTCCTTATAGTGCCCTTTAGGGTGGTAATACCTCAAATGATTTCATTGAACATATTTGCTCAATGATATTTTTGTACGAAATGCCTACACCTATTTTGTAACACCATAATCATTCAATGTACATTCATAGACATTCAATAGATTGAAACTGGACAGTAAGTTCGTTTCCTTTTTGACACATTTTGATGGTGTAAATAAATTATGATCTTTTCATTTTAAATATAATATAAACTTCTTAAATTTTATAAGGAATAACTATTTTAATATCACATCATAAGATCATACGAAGTGTATGTAAATTTGTACATTGAACAAATTTTGAAAATTTTCGGACACATTACTTTGGAAATTGAAAAGTGTCTTTTGAAATTCTTCAAATAGTATATTGATAATAAATTTATTTACTTGTCTCACAGTGTATCCCTGTGAATCCGTTTCCCGCACAGTTACAGAAAATCATAGAGTTTTGAAAGTAACACTGGGACTGTTCAGTGCAGTTGCCTGAAAAGTATTAATAGATTAATTCCTTGTATGCTTCTCCATAATATTCATTACATGCGCATGCTTTAAAATTACTTATAATTTGTCGTATTCCTCTTTTATCGCCATTGTGGTCATTAATTTATTATAACACAATTATATCATTCTTGTGTTATAAAAACACGGCCTGAAAATGAAAAATAATTATTATTAACTTAAATTGTATTTGTTTTACTTGTTGACTAAATCACAACCTTTTAATGGATATGTATAAAATGTCCTTTCTTGACTTTCTTTTAACGTGACAGAAACATTTTGTTTTGTTTGTTATACATGTGAATGAACTACAATTTGAACTGGTTCAAGATAATGATTACGTTGTGGATATATCATTGTCCTGAAAGCAATATTTTTTTAAGTGTTATGCCCCTATTTATCAAAATGTGTTATTTAACAGACAAACAAACACCGTATATAGTGCATTTTTAGCTCACCTGTCACAAAGTGACAGGGTGAGCTTTTGTGATCGCTTTTCGTCCGGCGTCCGTCCGGCGTCCGTCCGTCCGTAAACTTTTACTTTAAATGACATCTCCTCATAAACCACTAAGCCAATTTCATCCAAACTTCACAGGAATGTTCCTTTGGTGGTCACCTTTAAAAATTGTTCAAAGAATTTAATTCCATGCAGAACTCTGGTTGCCATGGCAACCGAAAGAAAAAACTTTAAATATCTTCTTTTAAAAAACCATAAGAGCTAGAGCTTAGATATTTGGCATGAAACATCTTCTAGTGAGTGTCTACCAAGTGTGTTCAAATAAAAGCCCTGGGGTCAAAATTGGCCCCGCCCCGGGGGGGTTATTGAATTTCCCTATATGCATATAGTAAAAACTTAAAAAATCTTCTTTTAAAGAACCCAAAGAGCTAGAGCTAAGATATTTAGCATGAAACATGTTCTAATGGGTGTCTACCAAGTTTGTTCAAATAAAAGCCCTGGGATCAAAATTGGCCCCGCCCCAGGGGGTCATTGATTTTCCCTATATGCATATAGTAAAAACTTAAAAAATCTTCTTTTAAAGAACCAAAAGAGTTAGAGCTAAGATATTTAGCATGAAACATGTTCTAATGGGTGTCTACCAAGTTTGTTCAAATAAAAGCCCTGGGATCAAAATTGGCCCCGCCCCGAGGGGTCATTGATTTTTCCTATATGCATATAGTAAAAACTTAAAAAATCTTCTTTTAAAGAACTCAAAAAGCTATGGCTAAGATATTTAGCATCAAACATGTTCTAATAGGTGTCTACAAAGTTTGTTTAAATAAAAGCCCTGGGGTCAAAATTGGCACCGTCCCGGGGGTAATTGATTTTCCTTATATGTGTATAGCAAAAACTTAAAAAATCTTCTTTGAAAAAACCCAAATAGCTAGAGTTAAGATATTAAGCATGAAACATCTTTTAGTGAGTGTCTACAAAGTTTGTTCAAATAAAAGACCTGGGGTCAAAATTGGCCCCGCCCCGGGGGTCATTGATTTTCTTTATATGTGTATAGCAAAAACTTAAAATCTTCTTTGAAAAAATAAAAGCCCTGGGGTCAAAACTGGCCCGGCCCCAGGGGTGTCATTGTTTTTAACTATATGTGTATAGTAAAAACTTATATAAAAAAATCTTCTTTTAAAAAGCCCAATGAGCTAGAGCTTAGATGTTTAGCATGAAACATCTTATGGGTGTCTACCAAGTTTGTGCAAATAAAAGCCCTTGGGTTAAATTGGCCCTGGCAACGTTGGGGGGGGGGGGTTGGGGGGGGCCTATATACAGGTGAGCGACCTCAGGGCCATCATGGCCCTCATGTTTTAAATCATCTTTACCGTCTTTGCTCGCATTGACTGAATCATTTAACAGAAGGATTTTTAGCTCGACTATACGAAGTATATGGAGAGCTGTCCTACTCGCCCCGGCGCCTGCGTCCGCGTCCAGATTTCAGATTAAAGTTTTGGTGCAGTAAAACATTTTTCACTATAACTTCGTCATTTCTTAAGGTATCAACTTCAAACTTCAAATATATGTTCCTTATCATCAACCACATCTTATGTTACAAGGTTCATAACTCTAGCATCACTTTTTTGTGCCCCCACGTTAGTGGCGGGCATTTAGATTTACCCTTGTCCGTCCGTCCGTCCGTCCGTCCGTCTGTCCGAGCAGACGAGAGCTACATTATGAGGTTTAGGTTTATGTACAGGCACTCTGTATGGGGTTCATTCCGTAGAGACATGTATTATGTGGTTAAAAATGCTCTTATGGGGTTAAAAAAATTTGCTCTTGTGGGGTTAAGAGATCAAAGGAATAACCCCACAAACACGTCTGCTAAGTACGTCCGTCCGTCCTTCTGTCCGTCCGTCCGTTCACTTTTGTGTCGCACGTAACTCAAAAAGTATTTGACCTAGAGACATGAAACTTTACAGGAATGTTGATCAGCATGTGTAGTTGTGCACCTGGGTATTTCCGTGTGGATATTTTTAGTATTTTCAGAGTTATTGCCCTTGACTTAGTAAAATTTTGCAATTTTCAACTTGTGTCGCACGTAACTCAAAAAGTATTTGACCTAGAGTCATGAAACTTTACAGGAATGTTGATCAGCATGTGTAGTTGTGCACCTGGGTATTTTCGTCTGGATATTTTTAGTATTTTCAGAGTTATTGCCCTTGACACTAACAAAGTTTGCACTCTTACCCTATGCTACGACCGGATGTAAACAATACGTTCGCACAGGGCATGCGCGGTGGTTAAATCCCACCCATTTTATTCGATTAAATTCTAGAACAACCACTACTTTCGGTTTCAATTTTGCCGACAAGGAACAGTTTGAATCAACGTAAGCGTTAATTTTAATTGCAATGTCCAAAACTTTGCACTACACGGCGTAATTTTCATTACATATCCGGTATTATCACCGTCATAGTAGTTTTTATTCCAGTCGGTCAAAATGACGGTACACATTTACATGTAAACAAACAGATTTAACTTCTTAGACAATTTAAATAAGCAATGGACACACGTTTAACACTGTTGCAACGTAAAGTATATTCATAAACCTGTTTGAGAAAAATTGTCTCCGTGTTCAAATAAATTTCAAAAACGGGAAAAAAAGCAGTCTTTTACCGATACCCTGCAACAGAACCTTATTATTCTGACGAATTAAATTGACTTTATAAAGCTCGTATGCAATTATTGATTGATCGATTTTTATTATATTTATTTTGTAATAAATATCATTCATTATGCAATCAAACAAAACCAAGTTTTCCTACATTCAAAGAAACTGTAAGTTAGGACGAGCTTTCAAAACGAACAGGTAGCAATTTCCAACACGCTTACCGAAACTCCAACATGGCGACTCAACCTGGCTCATTTGCATAATTTATTCATAAACGCAGGAGCATAGAACTTTGTTAGTGCTTGACTTAGTAAAACTTTGCAATTTTCAACTTGTGTCGCATGTAATTCAAAAAGTATTTGACCTAGAGTCATGAAACTTTACAGGAATGTTGATCAGCATGTGTAGTTGTGTACCTGGGTATTTTTGTGTGGATATTTTTAGTATTTTCAGAGTTATTGCCCTTGACTTAGTAAAATTTTGCAATTTTCAACTTGTGTCGCATGTAACTCAAAAAGTACTTGACTTAGAGTCATGAAACTTTACAGGAATGTTGATCAGCATGTGAAATTGTGCACCTGGGTATTTCGGTGTGGATATTTTTAGTATTTTCAGAGTTATTGCCCTTGACTTAGTAAAATTTTGCAATTTTCAACTTGTGTCGCACGTAACTCAAAAAGTATTTGACCTAGAGTCATGAAACTTTACAGGAATGTTGATCAGTGGGTGTTGTTGTGCACCTGGGTATTTTCGTCTGGATATTTTTAGTATTTTCAGAGTTATTGCCCTTGACTTAGTAAAACTTTGCAATTTTCAACTTGTGTCGCATGTAATTCAAAAAGTATTTGACCTAGAGTCATGAAACTTTACAGGAATGTTGATCAGCATGTGTAGTTGTGTACCTGGGTATTTTTGTGTGGATATTTTCAGTATTTTCAGAGTTATTGCCCTTGACTTAGTAAAATTTTGCAATTTTCAACTTGTGTCGCACGTAACTTAAAAAGTATTTGTCCTAGAGTCATGAAACTCTACAGGAATGTTGATCAGCATGTGTAGTTGTGCACCTGGGTATTTTCGTGTGGATATCTTTAGTATTTTCAGAGTAATTGCCCTTGACTTAGTAAAATTTTGCAATTTTCAACATGTGTCGCACGTAACTCAAAAAGTGCTCGACCTAGAGTCATGTAACTTTACAGGAATATTGATCAGCATGTGCAGTTGTGCACCAGGTATTTTTGTCTGGATTTATGTAGTATTTTTAGAGTTATTGCCCTTTACTTAGAGAATTTTTGCAATTTTCAACTTGTGTCGCAAGTTACTCAAAAAGGATTTGACATAGTCATTAAACCTTATGGGCAGGTTGCTCAGCATATTTAGATTTGCACCTGGGGTTTCGCTTGTGGATTTATCCAGTATTTGTAGAGTTATTTCCCTTGACTTAGTAAAAAGATTGACAGAACAGTGGCGCGGTTGGGGCACCCGTGTCCTATGGACACATTTCTAGTTCAGATTTATCTCCCCTTGAACTTAGAACTTTCCTTAAAAATACTATTTTTTTTACTGTAACTTCTTTACTTCTTAAAGGATCAACCTCATACTTCAAATATATGTACCTTATCATCATCCCCATCTTATGTTTCAGGTTCATAACTCCAGCACCAATATTTTTAGATTTATCTCCCCTTGAACTTAGAACTTTCCTTAAAAAATACTAGTTTTTACTGTAACTTCTTTACTTCTTAAAGGATCAAACTCATACTTCAAATATATGTGCCTTAACATCATCCACATGTTATGTGACAAGGGTCATAACTCTAGCACCAATATTGCAAGAATTATCTTCCAATAAACTTAGATTTTATACTAGAAAAAAATGATATTTTTTACTATAACTTTTTTAAAGGTATCTAACTCAAGCTTCTTATCATCAATTACATTTTTTGTGACAATGTTCATAACTCTTAACGCAATATTTACAGATATTTATCTCTCTTTGAACTTAAGATTTTCTTTAAGAAATATTATAACTTCTTTACTTTTTAAGGTATCTACTTCAAACTTCAAATATACATTTCTTATCATTATACACATGTTGTGTGACAAGGTTCATAACTCTAGCGTGGCTATTTCTAGAAATATTCCCCTTGATATTGGTATTTATGTTAACAAACGTTATTTTTTACTATAAATTAAAACATAATTATATATAATTGATTTTCTTTCATAGTTTTGTCTTCCTTACTGCGTCCAGTATTTTATTAGTCGAACTTCGCTGTCTCCTGTGACAGCTCTTTTGAAGTTCCTTATAGTGGCCTTTAGGGTGGTAATACCTTAAATGATTTCATTGAACATATTTGCTCAATGATATTTTGTACGAAATTCCTACACCTATTTTGTTACACCATAATCATTCAATGTACATTCATAGACATTCAATAGATTGAAACTGGACAGTAAGTTCGTTTCCTTTTTGACACATATTGATGGTATAAATAAATTATGATCTTTTCATTTTAAATATAATATAAACTTCTTAAATTTTATAAGGAATAACTATTTAATATCACATCATAAGATCATACGAAGTGTATGTAAATTTGTACATAGAACAAATTTTGAAAATTTCCGGACACATTACTTTGGAAATTGAAAGCGTCTTTTGAAATTCTTCAAATAGTATGTTGATTATAAATTTATTTACTCGTCTCACAGTGTGTCCCCGTGAAGCCGTTTCCCGTACAGTTACATACAATCATAGAGTTACGAAAGTAACACTGGGACTGTTCAGTGCTGTTGCCTAGAATAATTTCTTGTATGCTTCTCTTCTCCATAATATTCATTACATGCGCATGCTTTAAAAAAATTACTTATAATTTTTCGTATTATTCAATTATCGCCATTGTGGTCATTAATTTATTATGACACTATTTTATTATTATAATAGTTCCATTCTTGTGTTATAAAAACACGGCCTGAAAATGAAAAATGATTATTTTTAACTTAAATTGTGTTTGTTCTCCTTGTTGACTAAATCACAACCAAAAATGGATATGTATAAAATGTCCTTTCTTGACTTTCTTTTAACGGGACAGAAACGTTTTCTTTGTTTGTTATACATGTAAATGAACTACAATTTGAACTGGTTCAAGATAATGATTTCGTTGTGGATATGTCATTGTCCTGAAAGCAATATTTTAGGTGTTATGCCCCTATTTATTAAAATGTGTTATTTAACAGACAAACAACCACCGTATATATAGTGCTCTTTTAGCTCGACTATTCGAAGAATATGAGAGCTATTGTAGTCGCCCCGGCGTCGGCGTCAGCGTCCGTGTCGGCGTCTGCGTTGGTTAAAGTTTTTTGTAAAGTCAAATATCTCAATTATTACTTGAGATATTCAATTG